CTGACTATGATGCTCGACAAGGTGGCAGATTCTGCTCGAAAAGCAGTGAAATTGGCAGAACCATACAAACCTTTTGGCGGGCAATTCCTCGAATTCTGCTCCATTTCTTTATCCACATACCAAACATGCATGAAACCGGCTTACCAGAAAAAGTACCGAGTTCTGCCAATTTTTCTGCCGGCATTATCCGCAAAGGCCTACTCATGACGCCATGTACATGTACATGTACCTGTGACCGCAGACTCGAATTCCCTATGCCCGCTATGGCACTGCTGCCGCCAGAGCAGTGTTTGCCTTTCACCTAGGCTAAATAGTACAGGCACTACATGTATCTACACGGGAAATGTGTCCAGTGTGGCAATGCTTGGCAAGCTACAAAGTACGAGCTCATACGAGTCATAGCCCAAGCTTTCTTTGCTCGTGTTTCCCGGGATGATCGTTCAGTTGTTCCGTCCCGTCCGCACTTGCCAGCCTGCTCGGAGCGATGTGCTGGCTTCTCCCTGGCTGGCCTGGGCAGGACTCAGGCCGTCCGGGAACGGTGGGCCCGTGGAGCGAGGAATCATGGGCCATTGGCTAAAGGCAAGTGATTAGTGCAGCCTGGCTACCGGCAACGGTGAGAGCTGGCAAGCACCAGGCCCAAGGCCAAGGAGTCATACTCCCTGGCAAGCACACTGTGACGATTGTCATTCCAAGTCACACACGTGCATATCTGTAGCTTGCCCTGACTCAGTGACTGGTACTGGATTGCATCGTAGTCGAGGGGCCACTGCAATCCACAATACAACGACAGACTACGGACACAATACACACGTCCGACGAAAGTACAACATGCCATGCTTTTGTTGAGATCAGTCATGTTGAACCGGTTGGCAAACCGGCATGTACACTGTACATAATTGTACATGTACATGGCTGATGATCACTGCATGTATTGGATCAAGTGCAAAGCATCACATCGCCGTTCATGGTGCAAGGCGTAAATTCCTGGCGTGTGCGCTGCCCCCTACCATGAAGCCTACAGGCTACACTACTTGTAATGTTGTAACGTTAGTAGTGGGTCCTGACCTTGGCAAGACGAGGAGCCAAGGCCAGGACAAGCACAGTACCCGGGTAGTACCCTGATTCGCCTGATATGAAGCCATTGAAGGTCAACGCCTGATATGAAGGTCAACGCCTGAGATGAAGGTCAACGCCTGATATGAAGGTCAACGCCGGCGAAGGGAACTGTCTGAGGTGCCTCTAGAATAACCATGTCACAAACGTGCAAGAGTCTGCCTACTCATTGAGAGCTTTCATTCCAAGCGGCTACGGAACGAAGTAAACAGTTAGTAGTAAAGGTCACGCTGACCATATCCCCATGACCGTAGCCTGCTACATGACCAGCGCTAGTTAAGTTTAGGCTAGTCCATGACGAGTAATATACTAGTAGTAATATCATAATATGATACAGCTGTATAATGTAACACCCTCGTGGATCGTATCGTAGACCAGGTAGACGTCTACACTTACACCCGGACTGTCTACAAAGGTGGTCTATGATCATGATGACAATACAGACAATGATGTGACAGTCACTACACTACAGTCAGTGACAGTCTGTATGCCGAGGCGCCAGAGCTACGACGATCCTCCTCCGATCCGGAGTCTAGTTTGTAGTCCGCCTGCATACGATACCGGCGCGGATCGGTACCGGTTATCCCGGCGATAGTACTATGACATACAGCAGCGGTGCACGTGCGCCGATCCAACTCACTGAGATATCGATTCGAGAGTCACAGACTCGGATGTCACGTGCAGTGTCGATGTCCTCGTGAGTCGTAGTCGTAGTGATTATTTTTTTCGAGCCAGCTAGGATGTAGTCTATTGTAGAGCTAGATGAATAGTATTGATTGTATATCTACCGCATACCGCCATACCTGTACTGTAGTCTACTTGACGAAAATGACATTTCCTTTGATTTGATCTAATCTAGGTCCTGAGCTGATTTGGTTTGAGGTGTGTACAGTAAATTGTTGTATTGTGACTTGTGTACGTGTACGTGTGTAGTTACAGTCATGTCTTTGTCTATCGTTGTCACACTCATCTCAGTGTACTGCACTGCACCCTATTACATCAACCCTCCTCGTAGATCTACCTGCGCTGCCGAGCAACCATGCATATCAAGGCGCAGCGTCAGGCGAACTCGGAGTCTCGGACACGATCGTACGACGGTACCAGTACCCGTAATACTCTGAATATTCACAGAATAGCCTTTGAATAGCGGCCTAGTCCACGGCTGCATCCCCGGTATAACGTCGTTAGTATTACTGCACAGACCATACCAGTACCAGTGCTCGCACCGAGTCAGTGCCTACACTAAAAATCTTCGTATTCTACCTTCTGAAGTTCACTGCTACTGCAGTTGGCGAGGACAAGTCTCTTGGTACATGGTAAGTCACTACAAAGTAGCTCGTATGACAACTATTCTGGGAACGTTTGAACTTACTTCATTTATTACAGAATGTCCATGGCTACATTCCGGGTACACTGCCCACAGCTAGCAAGTAGCATCAACATGTTGCATGCAGTGTCTGCTCCAGAGCCGGGTCAGCGACCCGTTGGGGGGGGGGGGGTACTCGGACCCACTTGGAAAAAGAATATCGGGTCACGTGTGACCAGGTTGGGAATACATACTAGTGCCCATCGGGGAGTCCTAAATAGTTACGGCCCCCTGATGTACAGTGCTGCTCAATGAAATCCAGTCGCGTCACTCAAGCATGCGCCGGGCGTTGCGCAGCCCTAGACCTGCGAACACTGGGCTGTGCAATGATGCAAGGTGCAAACTTGAGTGACGGCGCGACTGGATTTCATTGAGCAGCACTGTACCTGCAGTTGGCACACATGAATCACCTCTCTCTCTGACCCAGTTGCAACAGTTGTGCCAGGTACACGTGTGCCCAGTTGGCTTTAACAACTTCCTACAGCAGACACCGGTAGAGTCTACTATACACTATGGTGTTATTTTTGAGAACGGGTTTACTCACAGCACCAATTGGGCCAATTGCGTGAAAACATGAAGTATGAGTCAACCCAAATTCAGAAATAAATAGACCACTCAACTTGAGATGTAAGATTGAACACAAAAGCACACAAGAACACAAGTTATTACCGTACATGCACTACATTGTAATGTTTCCAAAGTACGAGCACGAGTCTGTGAAAATCGGTCCAGCACAGGGAGTCGTAAAATATCTCCCTGGTCCAGCACTAAAGAAGCAATTTGATTTCCCAAACTATGCAAAAAGACGTTCCGTTGTGGCATTCGGTGTAGTCCGGCAGGGTTCATGGCGGTTTACTTTGTATCTTCAAGTGCGACGGTGTGTGTGTGTGGTGGTGGTGGTGTGGGGGAGGGGGGGGGGGGTGTATCCCGGGCTGGCGCACGGCATGTGACTGCTCACATGAGCGACCAAAAGTTGTATCTCATGTATGAGCAACACATACATGTACATTGTACCAGGGAGTCGTAAAATACCGGTATTTTATGACCCCCTGCACTGTACATGTAAATCGTACAATAGGGTTCTAGCCAGGGGGGGGGGGGGGGTAGGGGCGCAGCCCCCCCCCCCCTCCCCCTCCCTACTGTGATGGCGCACCACCCCACTCATTTATGATTCTTGTGTTTTTCAGTTCACACAGCGAAACATGCGGCCACAAATTTATCGCTCTGGGTGATACATTTTTGTGACAAGGCAATAGTGGAACATGGACAAAATGGGCAAACTACTAGTATTTGTTTCCCCTACCCCCCCCTCCCCACACACACACAGTTTGGCCTGGCTAGAACCCTGATGCAATGTCCCATAAAATTCCCCGGCGCGTTATAAAAATATCACCGTAGATCAGGAGAGGAAAGCTGCCAGCTTAGGTCCCTCGTCATGCTTGGTCTTTACATACATGCAGTACAGGTTATACGTGTTATTCAAACTGAGAAAAAAAACACCTTTACGATGATTCAGAAGTCACAGTGCAAAACAACATTTGGAAAAGGCATTATTTGTTTTCCAAGTATTTTTTTCATCATTCTTTTTGGTCGAATTTACATTGATAAACAGGGTAGATGTCTGTACGTTACAAAAATCTGAGTGTGGCTTGTACTCCAGAAAATACGGTATTTCCTCTATAGCCTTCTATCGCCAATTCTGCATCATTCGATCGTGGCATAAAGACTTCGTTCCAATGTCGATTCAGGAAGATCTGTCACTTTCGATTCCATGCCGGCACTTGAAGTACACTATATGGCCACGTTGCGGTTTTAGAATAACCTTATACCAAAGTACTGGTAGGCCTTCCATTGCCGGTTCCCCGCACTGCAGCAAGCACGGTAGATGTGTACAGTAACTGTTGTACGGTGTCAATGCTCTTATGCCGCAGCCCTAGTCAAGCTCCTACCCTCATGTGGCGTGCGCACGCAGCATTGCCGCAGTGGACTGGATGCTGTCGGGCAACTTCGGCCTGCAGAGCATTGTCAGTTTCAGCTAGAAGGTAATTTAACTGGGCCACCCATTGCGTTCTACGGAATCGGAATTCGTACACAAAATGTACATGTGCATTTGCGGGTACAGGATCGCACCTTTATGTCTATATGAAGTTGAAGCGGTTAAGGTTTAACTAGTTGCTCGGAAATGATTACGTTACTTTGGTCATTTCCACTGATTTCTCAGCATGTGCAGACTCCACTGTAGACATCCTTTATATCCAATTATCCATACATCGACGGATGATTTTATTTTCATTTCAGTGCCGGATTAGTGTAGCCCAGAGACCGCTTGGAGAGTGCTCAGTGAAGATGTATGGATACGTCAGAGACCGCTTGGATACTGTAAGACATGTATATATAACGAGGAAGCAAATCTAACGTTTTAACGGATGACATTTCTTCGTTATAATAAGATCCGTTGAGGCCGTACTGCTTCATATATGCTGTGTGTGGATATGGCAGAATACTGCAAGATCGTTTTAAACATATCTTCTCGTTAACCTATGAATTTTGGACAATCGTTAAATTTGCGACTCGTTATAATAACATGTCTTACAGTAGTGCTCAATGGAGATGTATGGATACGTCAGAGACCGCTTGGAGAGTGCTCAGTGAAGATGTATGGATACGTCAGAGACCGCTTGGAGAGTGCTCAGCGAAGATGTATGGATACGTCCCCCGGTGATTGATAATTGTGGCAAGAAAGGTGTTATGAAACATGTGGGTGAAACTCGGTGAACGGTGACCACCTGGTTTGAAAGACCACCGGTCGGTGGCACCAAATGCGGCATGGAATGTACAAGGATCACCCGGCTGGTTTCATAGATCACTTGCGTTTTTAAGGACCACGTGCCCGTGCATGCCAACACTGAAATATATTGTTTCCCATTTACTATACTTTGGAGGTCGCTCGTCCCAAGTGCAGTCCCCATTCCACAGCACTCTCGCACACCCCATGTACATCTACGTGCCATGATTCTGGCTGATAGCCGTTGTGTGGTGCATGCAATCTGTGCCGGTGTGTGCTACTGGCTTACACCCAGCGCAGCACTATGGCTAATTTCAAGTAGCGCTGTTCCACCTCTCCCCCTAGCCCCCCCCCCCCCACCCATCCCTCCACTCACCTTATCCCCTGGTCAAAGTACTCTAATTTCAGAAATTTTCGGTGCTCAATATTTTCGGTATGAGGGCAACAGGCTAGGTTAGGTAAACAGAAATGTTCGGTACAGAGAAGCAGTTCCCTATTGGATTATGTGTGTTAGTGTTTGTTCGGTGTATTGAAATTTTAGGTGTGAAACAGACGCGCCGAAAGTACCGAAAATAAAAGTACACCGAAAATTTGTGAAATTACAGTGACCTGCAGATGTTCATGCTCACATGACTCGTGTTCTGTTGCTCCTTCTTTCCACGGTGTTCAGGAGAATGGATCACGTACCTCAGAGTCTAGTGCGGGGCAACAGAAGCAGCGGTACCGGTGCAGAGAACCTGGCACTGAATGAGAGAGTGCAGGCACTAATTGCATCCGGCCATGACATCATAAATCTAGCCTTTGGCCAGGCTCCGTTTCCGCCCATGGACTTGGCGGTGAAGGCACTGCAGGAGAATGCTCACGTGACGCAGTATGAACCAGTGCGAGGTGATTGAGCTGTACTGCTGATCCGTGACACATCAGTAGCTGCCGCTCGTGATAAAAATGATACAGGACCATGTGTGACCTGCATCATTTGTAGGAACATTTCAGTGGCAGCCCGGCCATGGGCTGGTGTAGCTTTTAAACACTTAATTACTTCTCAGGTAGCCTCAGTTCATATCGCATAGAATGTAGCATGCAATGTGCGGTGTAGCTAGAACACGAGCATCAGCACACATAACCCAGTTTCCCTGGTTATCGGTATGGACATAGCAGTTTCCTTCTTTTCTTTGTTCAAAGGAAGCGACCCATTCAGGCGGGGCAGGTGTGCATACTGGGCTAATTAAAAAAAACTGCCAGGTCACCATTGCTGTGCGTGTGTTCGTTCTCTTAAAAGGCATTCGTCCACTTCGAGAGGCTATAGTCAAGTATCATGCTGCTCAGGATGAACTGGAGTTTGACCCAGATAACATGATCGTGGGACCGGGCTCCAAGGAATTGATCTTCCTGCTCATGGCCGTCTTCGATGGTGGTAAGCAGTATATGCATACATGTACTACCTTCTCTTCAACCCCCCACCCCCCCCCCCCCCCACCCCCTACCCCCTCTCTCTACCTCGTCTCTCTCTCTCTCTCTCTCTCTCTCTCTCTCTCTCTCTCTCTCTCTCTCTCTCTCTCTCTCTCTCTCTCTCTCTCTCTCTCTCTCTCTCTCTCTCTCTCTCTCTTCTGTGTGGTCATGAAAAGGCACAGAAATGCACGGCAACGTCTTTGCCCTGAACCTTCAGGTGGACAAGTGTTTAAGCTTTGCCTCATTGCTCGGAACTTTAGCAGCAAGTTCAGTTGCCATGGTTGCATGGGTGATCCACTGAGTGCTGTAAATCCTGCCCCCTCCTACCCTGCGATTTTTGGAAAATAATTATGTCTTCTTTTCTTCTTTTTTCCCTTTTTCCAGACATTATTTTGCCTTCCCCAGCCTGGGTGACTTACAAGCCACAGGCTGTACTGGCTGGTCATGAACCAGTTGTAATGGAACTAAGCGTAGGAGATGAATGGCGTGTCACTCCGGAGATTCTGGCCCAGGTACGATGGAGATACGTTTTGCAGAGTTTTTGTTAGTGAGACTTGAAGGGACTGTACGTTTAACCCCGATTCAGAAACAGAGTTATCATCATCATAGCCCTCCCCTCCCCCCCCCCCCCCCCCCACTGTAGGCCTCACTAAAGACGTCAGGTGTCCTCGAGCAAGAAGCAAACACACACACACACTCTCTCTCACTCTCCCCCCCCTTGCTCGCTCGCTCTCTCCCGCTTTGAAATTCGCTTCCATAGAAATGGGCACCATTGCCCATTTGGCCTCGCGAAGTAAAATAAAAGCAACAAGAACCAGAAAGCAAGCTCCAGCCAGCTCTGTTACGAACAGCACTCGATAGAGCCACTGCCCCCCCCCCCCCCATCCTGCAACAAAGGCATCCACTGCCCACGCGGATACGACTACTAAAGGGTTGAAAGGCCTGCAGAGTGCAGTACGCCGCCGCAACAACAGTGTGTACTGGCTCAGCTCAAGATCGTCTAGCAGTGCAGCAAAGACCCAATCTGCAGGAGCTGAGCATCATGGTCTGAGGCTAGGCTGCGCCTGCACTCTACGTATATCCTGTATAATGTGATGTTTCAATGGGGAATCAGGGGAATCAGGGGAATCAGGGGTTTTGCTCCATCATTCTATCAAATGTCTCTTACCGTGATCAGACACTAGCGGCTATGCACTAGCGGCTATGCACTAGCACCTGAAGTACACGCACAGGTAATTGTAACCAAGTAACTTACGGGTACTTGAAGTGCTATCACACACTAAAACCATGCCTGGGACAGTGGGTATATCTACATGTATGTCCTTATGTGTCCATCATGTCCGGTACAGACTGTGTTGAATAAGTGCAGTAGCAAGAACAAGCTGTTGATCTTTTGCAATCCCGACAATCCCAGTAAGTACTCTGTGCCGAGCTGTATTTGCCCATACTGTACGCGTTTGGAAAGGAAGACGCGGCTCATTGCCGACTCGGATCTTGCCATTGTCAGCAAGTCTGTCTGAGTGCTTGCGGATTGCCTCGGTACACGTTGGTGTCTCTTCACCCGTAGAAAAGTTGAGGTTACGTTAGCGGCATGGTTATGTCGTGTCAGACAGAGTTTATTCACAACAAGCAAGGAGGACAACAAAAGAAGAACTCCATTCCAAAGCAGTGTGCGAACACAAAAGGGACGTGTGTACGAACACAAAAGGGACGTGTGTACGAACACAAAAGGAAAGTGTGTACGAGCGCCTACGGAAGCAGGAGGTCTAGTCTAGGCACGTGCATACGGGGTGCAGGAGTTGCACCATATACGGAAGTAGGCCATATCCATCAGGTTTCCCTGCGCTATTACTTGAGTTCTGCTGGTAGCTGCAGAACATACCAGTACCGCTCAATATTCATCCAATGTAATTTGACTTATCGTAGAAAGCCCGGATCACCTGTCTTTATCTTTGAAGATCAATTTTCAGCCCCTGGGGCGGTCACAGAACCAGGTGAACTGCTTGCTGAGTGTGCACAGATCTTGTCCAGCAATATTCGGAGTGAAGCCTAGATTGCATTCTGGACATCGTGTGCCCTTGGTATTAGTAGAGGGCTTTAAAATAACTTTCGAGTCACAGTTAGAATTGTGTGTGTGTGTGTGTGTGCGTGCGTGCGTGTGTGCGTGCGTGCGTGTGTTATTTCTGTGGATCCTCAGCCGGTGCAGGCTACTCAAGGGATCATCTACAGTCACTGGTGTAAGATTTCACATTGCTAGTCTTCAGTCACATTGCTAGTCTTACTCAGTCAGTGAAGGGAAATGTTCAATGGATAACACTAGCACAATCATGTACTTCGCCGTGCTATCATGTGTGTTAGTATCAGCGAGTGGAACAAGGCAATGCATGTGCTTCGCCAAGAAGAATGACCATTGAAGATTGACTTAGGCTGTTTTCATTTCGGGGTTTCCTTGGATGTGATGTCGTCATTGCTGTTGTCGGTGTGACCACTCACTAGGCCGGTACTGCGAGAACACAACATCATTGTCCTGTCGGATGAGATCTATGGTCACTTGACGTACAGCAGGGATCATGTATCTCTAGCTAAGGTATGAGTGCTAGATAGAGTCTCTTCTGTCGCAATCACTCAATAACCCTTCATGACTGATAATACACATTATGAGTCGAATTTTTAACGAAGGCCGTGTCGGTTTGTACTGTACTTGGCATGGCACTGTGTCAGAGCGCAAGATCAGATTTCCTTTGGCAACAACTGTGCTTACGCTGATCCAACAGCTTTCAGCGTTGAGTTCTTCAGCGGCTGGCTCTCATGGTTTGTACAGTCATACACTACTCGAAGTACATATTACAGTCGTGGCAAGTGAAATCCGACACTTGGCATAAGGGACTGCACCATGCATCCTGCAGCCCCTGCATACGTAGTACATGTGTTACATACAACTTTTATCTGCCTCATCACAGAACTCGTGTTCTTTCACCATGTTCACAGTCAAGGTTCAAACGATGCTGGCAAAAATGAATGAGGATTGGATACCAATACTCCTTATGTGTACCGTGTTTGCGAACTGTGTGTATCTACGCTGTGACCTTTCGATCTGTTTGGGATGCATACGGGTCTATTGTACACTGTGAATCAGGTGCAGTGCATTACATCATTGATGTCCACTTTGAGGCGCTGTCCCCTATGGCAAGTGTCAGATTTCACTTGCCACAACTGTACTGATGATGGATTTGCTGCCAAGCAGGCGGCGCTAAATCTCAGTCTTGCTGTCTGAATGTGTATCCCTGCAGTTCTGTCCCGAACGTACAATACTCAGCTCAGGATTATCAAAGTGGGCTAGTGCTGGTGGCTGGCGGGTAAGTATACTTTGCCAGTGATTTTGAGCTTATTCCAATAACTCCTGTAGCTATTCCTGGCTCTTTCATTCATATTCTGTCGTTCCACACTACAATCCGTCCACCTATCTGTCCATCCACACGTCCGTCCGTCTGTCCGTCTCATCATTTATTTGTTTCAACTATCCAGTTGCAAAGTGCATCGTAACAACACCTCATGAAGTCCTTCTCAGCTTTCTTAAATCGTCCCATCATTCATGTGTACATCAGTGGTGTATAACCTGTGCCGCTATTTCTGACTCGTTCTGCAGCTGGGCTACAGTGCGTATCCAAGTCAGCTGTCTGCATTGTGCTTGGCCGTTGCCAGCGCAGCCAGCCACACATACACATCTGCCAGTGCACCCATACAGCATGCAGCTGTGCAGGTCAGTAACCCACAGGCAGTGACCCACCACTCAGGGTGGAATGTCACAATGTATGCTTGTGTTACAGACAGCCAGTGAAATTTACTCCCGAAATTGCCAATGGAGTAGAACTTCAAGAAGCCTGACTTTTCGGCACTGCATTTTTTGTTGAATTAAAAGTCATGTCTAGACCTTTAGTTAGGGCCTACAATAGTAGGGACTTCCTTTCGGTGCTTACACAACAGAGGCTGAAAGTGCACAATCTAGTATCCTTGCTAAAACTTTAGTTCGAAACATAACGTTCCTGTGCTCTTCACCCAGTGAAAGCCAACCAGAGTTTGTATGAGTGTCTATTTTTATGTTAACTTACACTACTTGCTAGTCAGGATGAGGGTTCCCGCTCAACTCACCACATATTCCGCCTTGGCCCATCATCAGGGTGAAAACTGAAAACAGTAAAACTTTTTAAATGAATCACTAACACTAATGGCCGGGCGCCGGGCACTAAGCTACCGGTATGGCGTAGAAGGTGCGTGTTTGGCTATTGAGCTGTCTCTTGCCAATTGTTTCTCCGCGGTGTAGATATATCGCAACATCCCTGCATCACAAGAGTACAGCCGTCATTGCACCCGCATACTTGCTGCTGTTGCAAAGTATTCTAGAAGGTGAGAGCTAGAGTGATCACTAATGACAACTACCGATGTGTTGTTTGTACAGTAACAGTCATGGAGTGGGCTGGCGGCTGTAAAATCCACATACCCAGGACCGGCTCGATACCAGTCTTTCATAGTTTGTGTTCGATATGGCACGTACACATGACCTCCTCAGCAGTTACCACGCAGCGTTGGTGGCCTAAGTATTGGTCTGGCTATGGCCTGACTAGCCGGACCGGTTCTGCCGTCACCCCCCCCCCCCCTCCCTCAGTCCTGATACCCCCCCCCCCCCCCCGCACAGACCATAGCAGCGCTGAGTGCGTTCAGGTACACACCCGGGTGTGTGTGTGTGTGTGTATGTGTGTGGGTGTGTGTGTGTGTGTGTGTGTGTGTGTGTGTGAGTCTGTGTGTGGGTCTGTGTGTGTGTGTGGGTCTGTGTGTGTGTGGGGGGGGGGGGGGGTGAAGCCTATCAGAGTGCAGCTGCACGGTTGAACCGGCAACTTGCAATGACCAGCAGCGCATGTACATGTAGTACTCAAGTATACTGGCTATTGTGCCACTCAAGGTGATGGATGCTTTGCTCTTCAATATACTTGTGTGTACGTTGCTACTGACGCGGCTGTCTATCTGTGTCAGCCTGCCACACTTACATACCGTTCTGAAGTCTTCATCACAGTTGTTTTGCGCACGAGTCAAGTTGGAGAGCCCTGCAAACTGTTGACCGTCTGAAATTAATGTTATTCTTTATCACCATGATTAAAATTGTTGTCCTGCAACAGTGAGCTGACCAAGTGTGGCCTGAAGTGCATAGCTCCTGTCGGCGGATTCTACCTCTTTGTAGATTTTGAGGTGAGGCAGGCTGAGCAGATCATCAGCAAATCAGACTATGGCCACTGATGCGCTATGAAGTATTGACCAGGTTCCAATGTACAGAAGATGATAGCTATTCCCAATTTCCAATGCATTAGCTGGAATTCGCTGGAGACAGAAGCATGCCTGTATTTGTATCTTCCGCTTACTTGCGTTGACTACTTTCTATATAGATCCAGTAGTGTTGTGGCACCTCAAGAGTGAGTTGTTAACATGGGGACTAGGGAAACATGCATACAGTATGCCTCCTGCAGATACCATCTGAATTATGGCCCTGTTTCTGTTTCAGATCTTGCGGCCGCATATGGCCCGAATGGGTATGAAGACGGCCGATGATTTGTTTGCACGAATACTGGATGACGTTCAGGTTGCGGTAAGAGAATGAAGAAGTGGTTTGGACTGTGCACATTTGCCTCATTGCTTAACCTTGAAATCTGACTGCGCTTATTAGTGGAGCCAGGCTGCCAGTTTAGTAGGGGAAATAGTGAGTGTCAAAAGCGGTTCGTTCACGGGAAGGAGGCGGGGGGGGGGGGGGGGGGAAGAGAGAGAGAGAAAGAGAGAGAGAGAGAGAGAGAGAGAGAGAGAGAAAGAGAAAGAGAGAGATCCTTTGTAGTACACCGAGCCACAGTGACACCTTCTCTGTTCTGGCAGAAATCTACACCTTGCAGGCTTGTAATGAAGCAACAGCACCATGTCCTCTGCCCTTTATCTTTCTTTCTCCGTAGCTGTTGTCTGGATCTCCTGGTCTTCTTAGGCCGGAGCAGGAGCTCTCGGCGCGTCTGTCCTTCACAGACTTCAATGGTGGGTGAACATGACCATGACAAAGTGCTACATGAATATGGGCGATGATTACCTGAAAACCCCGTCGATGAGAATCAACAATAATGTTCTGAATTACCAGTATAGATTTGGAAGTATAGACTTGGCTTCTTTGTGGCATATTCAGACAGTACATGTAGTATAATATATTTTTAAATTTAAATTTAAATTTAATTTATTACTACTTCGAAGTACAGTGTTACAGTGTACTAGTATTTCTGTTAGCCGAGCAGCACCACCACTGGGACCGTAGTGTGGTCTGAGTAGTTTTGCTGTTGACGCACAGTGGTGGGTGAATATGCAATGGTGTCACAGAGTGTGCTACCATAATGATGTCATTGTGAGAGCCAGTATAGTAGGCAACGGGATGTGCTGAAACATCAACGTCTTTCAGATGGCATGTTCACTCTAACCTCTATCATGAGACTCGTTTATGTAGTGTGATTTCAGTGCAATGGACTACAATATCTATGGTCATGCTAATGTTGTAAGTTCCAAGCCAGTAGCTCCTGTTCATTTGATGGAGTATGTAAACGGAAATGACATCGCTTTTAGGACAAACACGGTGGACTGCAGTCGACATCAGCTTTCCTGTTCCGTCCGTGTGTTGTTGCTTGTGTTCAGGTGCTGACGCTCTTGGTGCCAGTCAGACCGATGGTCTCCCTCTGGACAATGCCCTAACACCCGAGTTTGTTGAGAAGTACTGTTGCCGAGTGGTCGGCGGAATTCAGGTACACCTGCATGTCTCTCATTACTTGCCCATTTGCATTGGTTGAACAGGGTGCACGTATCACGTATCACCTGCTGCATGCTTCAGTGAAGTTTACAAAGAGTGCCGGTTGCTATTGACATTAATTCAACATAATCAATGCTGAAGTCTTGCTTTGACAGCCGTGGACCCGATGTGAAGACGTTCTGTGAAGCGGTTGTGAAAAGAAGCTGTCGTGTCACCACATGTGCACACCGCGCAATTTCTGTCTGTGGGCACGCTACTGTATTGGCATGTGTGCAATGACATGCCTTCCAAAAAATGATGAGCAAATGATGAGCAGCGTATCGAGCCATCGGTGTGTTCATGTTCCTTTGTCTCCTGCAGAGATTGGTGAGCTGGGTATCTGAAAACACAAAGTAAACTACCGCCCATAGCACCGCTGGCTCAGCTGCAGTATGCACTGCTGTGCTACACCAACAGCCTGCCGGGAAATTGCACCATTGCAGCCACTTGGTGACTATGTGGTAAAGGTATCTCCTCGTCAGCTTTTCCATTGCATCCGCCAGCACCATCAGTCTTTGGTCCAACTCTACCATGTCTGGTTATGCCTCTTCTCTCTAGATTTAGACCACCAATAGACAAAGTCGTGTACTCGTAGTGTCGGTAAAGAATGTTCTCCCCATTGTCAAAGACCAATAACTATTATTTGAAACTCGGGCCCAAATTTAGAAGCAACGGTTGCCGCCTTTAGAATACTAGAATACTGTCTGGCTCCCTACAAATACAGACAGGCAAACGTTGAATCCATCCAATGCTCTCTTTTCCATTATTTTATTGCCATGGTGGCATGTTGTGATATTTAATATATTTTTGCTTATATTCCTGCGGAGGAAATCTACTTTAATACTTCAGGTACATGTGTATCATCATCTCTACTTGTCTTCAAGCTGGTACTGCAAGCAGAGCAGGCCTTTCTACACATTCATGCAGGGTGTACGAGTACCAGAGTGTCGTGCGAGTAGATTCTACTGGATATCAACGTGCAATACATGCACGCCATGCAGCATCTGCACTGAACAAACACGCCTTGTGTTGTGGTGGTCTCCAGAATGCAAGGGCTGTAGCTGTACAACTAGACAAGATGAATGGTTTCTTTTTTCTTTCTCTTAGAGAGAGTAAGTATTAAATGCTTTTACACTGGTATTGCCTGCAAAACCTGGTGAAAAATAAAACGGGTACAAGAAGGGGATGGGGGTAGTAAAAACAATGTGAAACATCCAATAAAACCGGCTGAAATCTGAACAGCATCAGCATATCGCACATCAGGGCTAAATCGAGTCCAAATAGCTAGAACAACAGCACCTGTATACTTTTAGATATGATTATTGCTTTTGCGTCATAAACGCACCGCTGAGGAGAAAAATAGAGCTTTTTTCTGGGATTTACTTTTGCTTTGTACAGTAGTACAAGTAGCACATATCGAGCATCAGATACAACTGAAAGGTGAAAAGCGAACAGCTCAAATCAGCAGAACTGAGTGGCGTTCAATGGGTTGGAACGAACAGCATCATCCCGCATGGCTGGTTCGAAACATTTGTCAGACTGGATTATAAAAGCTGGAATGTGGTTGAAAAACATCCTTGCATCAAATTGTGTTTTCCAGAAAGTGACTCCTTTGGGATTTTCATTTTAAAAGCACAGACTGCTCATGAAACAGTGAACACTCTGTTCTAGGGAGCACTCAGTCCCTGCTCAAGACTGGTAGGGTCAACACTGGCATTGCGCATCGTGTTCCCTCACACCAGAATACTTCAGCAGTGGACGGGGAGCAGCGGAAACGACTGACAGGAGTGATGCAGCTGGGATATTGCAGATCAGAACTGCAAGACGATACCACCTGAGACTACGGCCTGCATGAGAAATCCATTAGAGGGCATAAAAGGGCTTCAACTTGTTGAATCTGCAAACGGTGCTGGACACTGTAGGAAACAACACTGGGTTATCCCCCGGAGCGAAGGAGGCACATACCGCAGGTCCCTGGCCACATACGAATGAGGCACATGCTCAAGGGTTCTGAGTTGGGCAGTTTAGGCGCCCGTTCGGCATTGGACCAATCATCATGAACATCATCATACCACCATCACCACTGTACTAACACGACAGTGGCACTGTAGTCAGCACTACGGCTTCCTGAGCTTGAAAAGAGGATGCTTGGCTGCTGCCTGCTTGCTGTACTCCATGTAGGTCATGCCATCTCCACCAGACATTGTAGACATATTGCCAACACGACGATGGGCTTTCTAAGAAACAAGCAAATAAGAAAACAAGAATACAAATGATTATAATAACCCCGAAGTGAAGATACTGAAGGTACTGAACCAACATGATTAGTAACTCAGTACCTAGGAATACCAGTACATGAATAACATTCAACTCTATTTCCTCGCCACGCTCCATGATGAAATGAACCGATCCACTCACCTTTCCGTGTGGCAACTCGTCCGAACCAGCGACATCCTCTTCATCAGCGTCAGCATCCGTAGCAGCCAGAACCTTAGCAGCAGCGTGTGCAATGACAGTTTCAAAGGAAGGCACAGTTTAAGATGGTCTTCCAAAATAGTGCCCAATGGTAAAGTTTTGGGGAAAGACGCTCTGACAGCAAGTGAATTCAAGCTGGACTTCTCCATTCGGAGCCCGTTATGTGGTTATCCGAGGAACGTATCAAGAGTAAAACTTGGACAGTCTTTTACTTCGTTCTACCCCACTGCTGGGCGCTGCATCTGCCGCTGGATTTTCGGGGTGTTGGCACCCGTCGTGAGTTCCCTCGGGAACGGAAAAGAAAATTTACTTTTTTCCTACTTTAAAGTACGGATGCCATGAAAGAGCATGCATTGGGTTCTTCATCAACAGCAGAGTTCTACTGTGCGGAAACTGAACCATCGACTAAGGAGTGCAATTATGTAAGGGTACTTCTCAACAGAACGTGCCCCAACTGCTACTGCCTACAAGGTTGTTTTAAAAACACTGCCGAGGTTACCTTTGTGAGGAGGTCGGCTTGCTCCGCTTTGGTGGTGAAGTGCAGGTCAGTCTCCTGAGAAGAAACAATGAACACCACACACCATTTGACCATTTGACGCCCATCGCCGGAGGCGATGATAGCGATGCTACAGCAGAAGCCATAGCAACTTGTGCTGGGATCGCACCATTCAACAGCTTGCAAGGCTGAAGAATTGACTGCCACTATTCAGCCTGGTCTACACCACACAGTTATGAACTGGCTTTTTCTGGCCAGTGAATCCCTACTTTTTGGTCTTTTTTCACATAACACACACGTACACACACACGCGCCCACCATTGACGGCCATAGCCCCTCCAAAATACGAATATAGCATATCAGCTACATCAACTGAATCATTCAAAAGAAGGCCAGCTAGAACAAAACTCACTCGTTCCATTTCCTCCAGCTTGGTGATGACCTGCACAGAACAGGAAAACAAGACCCAGAACAAGCCCAGCTGGATTCAGGAAGATTCTCACAGGCACTGCTTAACTGCTGCTGTACCAGTCAACGAAACAAACTAGAAATGAGGATCTGTTGCACATAGTTAACCTATTTATCGCAGTCCCAACTCGTCACAACCACAACCATAGTTAACCTGAATGAAATAATCATAATTGTCTTCAATGCGTAAATACTGTAGCTGTAATCTACATGGCATGTTCCAAGGATGTGTGTGAGCAGCTAGATCCAGCAGCAAACAGGGCGAAGTTGGAAACAGGGAAATGGATCTGCTGATCCAGCCTACCTTGTAGCTGTAGCCCTGGTTGACAAGGAAGCGCTGGCGCTTGATGGAGTAGTGCATCTCCTGCGTATCCTGAACGTCGTCACACGAAACAGAAGAACGGCAAGATGCAGATTAACAGGACTGCTAGTAACACGAGAGAAGATAGACATGCAGCATGTCGTACGGCATGCCTGCAGCTGAGCAGAGTCTGCACTTCCACGTAGTAGCAGCTGCAGTTGAAAATACTTTGAGCTGGTGTTTGAAGCAGTAGTCACATGGGTTAGGCGCGTGCGCCGGTGCCCTTCAACGGGGGTTTCGGGGGCCTCCCCGGGAAAATGTTCAAAAAATGAAGCAAAATCCTGCATTTTGAGCGAAAAGGGGGGGGGGGGGTTCCGGGCACCCAGGAACCCAAACGGGACACGCGCCTGTCCAGGGTTATCCTGTTGTGGTGACATTGCCCATTGAGAGAGTAATACGAGTACCTGTGACACAATGTGCTAATGGTCATGATCACCTCACCTGAGAGACCAGCGAGTAGAAGAACGCGTTGTACTCCAGTGTAGCAAACCCTGCCATGGGGCAACACATACATGTAGAAACACTGCATAAGTTACATGCACTATAACAATACAATAGGGGATAACTACTGCACAGGCATCGAGACTGAGGATAAGTGATGTTGACCACAGGACAGAGCTTCCATGTGGGTACAACAGATAGCAGCATGCACATGTACATGTACAACAATGGACAACTGCTCAAAATAACTACCGGTTTCGAGACGCAACGTGAGTGGCTTAGACTTTTCGTGAATCTTGCAGGTGATGCATTCACAGGACAATGAGCGTATTTGCACGAGCTAGCTAACACGGAAACACTTGGCATACTCGCGGCACATAATCCATACGGACCAAACTGGGATCAAGGTGCACAAGCTCACAGAAAAATTCCAACTGAACAAGCATGGGTAGCAACTCACCGCGCTTGGCACGAAGGATACGACCCATACGCTGCGCTTCCTGTGACAGGGAGAGACCGTTTGGTAGACGTAGAACACACAACAAATTACAGAGTATAAAGCAATGTTTTGCTGAACCTTGGGAGCAGTGAACAATCATTCCAGTCTTGTCTAATGACTTATGCCCAGCCATGAGCGCAGCAAGTGCAAACAACTACTGACATACCTGTCGACGAGAACCACCATGAGCTGAGATCTGTACAAACAAATGAGTCATCCATACAGATAACACACGGACACACGCACGTACACACACAACAAAACACATCATCAGTGATATATCCATACTAGCCGTCACATCTAATAAAGCATGAAAACAAAAACGATATACCATACAAAGTTGTACATCATCTTTTGCATTTAACTCTATGTTCATACTTGGTGCACATTGCACTCACTTTAACATCTTCAACCTTGACAACCAGAATACACAAATGGCCTGACCCCAGACCAGGGCAGAGAGTCTGCTGAAGAAGGAGCTAGCCCAGAGAGTACACTGCAATGTAAGGTGTCATGGATATTCAGCTCACCTGGATCAGAACGTTTGCTTCCGGCAAGTCGAAGGAGTTGTCACCCACCTGTACAAGACAGAAGTCAGCACACAGTTACCTTTAGGGAAATTCAGGATGAATCAAACTTCCAGAGCCTGTAGTATGCTGCACATTGAGTGGAATGATCTTGGTCCCAAGTGCCTACAACACTACTGTGAAGTAGGACCTTGGTCCAAGAGTGGCTACAACACACCAAAGGATCTTATCCGCACCTAGACGTTACGGGCGCCTCGGTCTACAGGACGCCCTGCAGATGAGTTTTTAGTGGAAATATTACTACTCTTTTTGCCATCTTTGTGGAAATAGTGGCCCCATATGCCAGATCTCTGGCCCATCCCCATCAAAACGTAGGTGATTCTGAGTTACGGACATTTCCGAGCTATGACCCGTGCCCGGTCCCGGACAAACCGGATAGGAGAGAAATGCGTGTATTATGCAGTTCATATGCAGTATGTGTGCCCAATATCATTCCGATACTGTGCTGTTTGACTGTCCCGCAACAAATTATTAGTTGGGAAAGTTGGTCATTTAAAAAAAAGTTTAGTGAGTTTTACAGCTAGTTTAGTACATGTTACATGCAAATGTAACCACAATGAAGATTTGCACCCCAGCGAAAACGTGTGAAAAGAACACAAATGGTCCGGTGTACCTTGGAGATGAAAATACAGTTGAGAGCCGGGTTGTGAATGAAGTTCTGAAGAATGCGAAGACGCTCGTGCTGGCTGGTTGGTCCATCAATGAACGGCCTGGAGGTGATCAAGGTGGAGAGAAAAATGGATGACTGCGTACTTAGATCACACAGATGTGTGTGTGTGTTTGTGTGCGTGTGTGTGTGCATGTGTATGTGTGTATGTGTGTGTGTGTGTGTGTGTGTGTGTGTGTGTGTGTGTGTGTGTGTATGTATGTGCGTGTGTGTGTGCGTGTGTGTGTGTGTGCGTGCATGCATGCATAAAAGAGAGAGAAAAAGGGACCACAAGAAGAGGAAATAAGACATTGGGCATCATTGACAACTGTGGCAATTACTCACAGAATATTCCAGTTAGAATCTGTGTGTGTGCACATGTGCAGAACTGCACAGAACTGGCACTACACATATTTAAATCCAACGCATCAAACTTACAAATATCCTATGTACTGTGCTCTCAATTACTCAATTGCCCCCATCCCCACCTCCATGCTACGCCAAATCAGCAAAAAATGCCTGTACACCAACCTGTTCATCTTGATGGCATAGCTGCGCAAGGCAAACACGTTGTCCGAGAAGACAATGATCTTGTCATTACGCCTGAGAACATAATTATGCAACACAATGTACACAGGCATGTAAGACACAGACACATCTCAACATTCAAGTGTTCAAGCTCACGCATACACACACATCCCTCTATTGAAGTAGGCTGATACATAGTGTGCTACGGAAAGTAGGAATATACAATGTAGGATGACGCAGGGCGTTGTATTTCATCATAGACGGCTACTCTCAGCCGTTACTGTTCCGTCAGTCTGATTTGAAACAGGTCAGCTACCCGAGCTTGAGGTAATGAGTACTAGCAGCATCAACATTATAATGTATGTACATGGAGATGGTAACTACAGTCGACCTACCCTTGTAACGATAACCCCTATAACGATATTACCCTAAAAACGATATTTTTCTGCCAAACCAAATCACTCCATTGATTTTTGTATACAATGTCTTACCTATTGCAATTTCCGTAGTAGTAGGTGGCATGTGGCCTCTAATTTCCTAATGTCTTACCTCTATAACAATATTGCTATAACGATACTACCCCTATAACGATATAAAATGGGCCGACCAATCGACATTTTCCATTTTATAACAATATCTAGCAGGGAATTAGCAGGGAATATATACAGCCCACTATCCAGGTAGGGCAAGATTCACTTGATAAGTCGCTGGGACATGATGAAATACAATGGGGGCACCAGTGGGCACCTTGCTGTGTATACAGTGCGCATGTACGTCAGTTTTTTATGCTATGAAGAGTGCAAACAATGAACAAAATCCGTGCATTATGATGTACGTGTATGAAATGAACCAGTTACCCTTATAACAATATTTCTTGGTCTGACGCAAATATCGTTATAAGGGTAGGTCGACTGTACCTGTAGTCACTGTGGCAAGTCTACTTGTAACAGAGATAGTAAATACATCAGCAGATTCGTGGACAGTGTACAGGACGATAGAAGTTCTAGGAGTGCACGTGTGCAGAACTGCGTACAAAATGTCCAATCTCACCTTTCATGGTGGTTGACCAGAAACTAGATAAGGGCCAGAGATGTACACAAGGAATAGAGAACACATAAACACACATACACACAGCATATCAAACAAGTGAATAATAGTAAACAAGTACAAATAAACAATAAGCCTCTCTGGGACTTGATCGAGGAAGAACTTGTTCTCTCCCTACCTCTCTTTCTGAAGGGACATCCTCTCCTGGCATCAACACCTCATCAGAGAAATTCTGCAAATATAGCGAAGTTCCCGGACTAACAACATGTTGTTGGTACTGTTGTTGCTGTTGCTGTTGTTGCTGTTGTAGTAGTAGTAGTAGTAGTAGTTGTTGTTGTTGTTGTTTTGGTAGTTGCTCAGTTGTCACAGCTATCATCAATGTCATTGCTGCATCATACTCAGACAACACAGGATTTGTCTACTTTTACACCAATTACAGCCATGCAGCACAAACCAACCTACCTGACAGACACGAAACTTGCCCGGGTTCATCACACAAAGCAGCTGAGGATAGAAAAGAACATCGGCAGAGGTAAACACACACACGCACGCACGCACGCACGCACGCACGCACACACACACACACATACACAGCTCTGATCATGAATAGCATGTTTACGCCCATCTCCACCACCCCTGAGCGCTGTGCCTTGAGCTAATACATGACGAGACCATCAGGTCTGCTCCAAAGAGAGGGAGCCATATTGTCCGGCTCTTCACCCAGATCTTAGAAACGAACTAGCTGCTGTACACTAGTAGTAGACCGCATAAGATTCGCTTAGTGCCCAATTCATTTCACCAGGGTCAGTCTACCCAGGCCCCCTCCACCACATCTCAAGACACTACTGCAAGTGAGATTGATCGCGCGCGTGAGCCACACATCACTGTACCTTTCGTTTCCTGCTGCGGATCCTCAGATACTCTCGATAGAACTCCCCTGACATTGGACACCACACCTGCAAACAAGACACAAAAGGAACGGGTTGCATGCAGTGATGGCGATTCACCTTTCAACACTGGTATCATTCACACACGCATGCATGCATTGAAGAAAGCATGCACCTACATGTATGCACTGCACCCCCCCCCCCCCCCACCCCTCCCCCCATTGGAGGCAATGGAAAGGTCTGGCTTTAGGTTCCGTCAGAATGAAAAGAAAGCACAAGAGACCTCAGTGGGACTGCCGAATTATTACTTATACCATCGGACTGCTCTAGATTGCCTTCAGCACACAGCATGAGAATCTCCCAGGCCACAGTACAACAGCAGCATACACACCAGCAGCATACACAACTGCTGGCCAACCCTTACCTCAGCACACTGGACACGGGCAATGTAGCCAGCATCCTGCAGCTCCATCCAGTTGGCTTCGTACAGCTTGGGTCCAATCAAGAAGTTCAGATCCTGCAGCAGACAGAGGTACATTGTACAACAAAGGACATGGGACCCAACAGCATTATTACATAATACAATTATGATACCACACAAATCTCTACTACGTGTAATCAAAGTACATGCTAGTACATGTACTTGATTTGACAGCAAACTCCAGATGACAGCAAAGCAGATGATCGGGTGAGAAAGACCAGCTGTAAGCACGTTTCGGTCAAAACCTCTCCATTGTGTTATATGTACCTGAATACGGTCATCTTCACGGACCAGCGTCGCAGTCAAACCAAGTTTGCAGTGAGCCTTCACAGCTATAGAATAACAGCAGCAGCAGCAGCAACAGCAGTAACAACAGCCATGTTTTATCTTGTCCATTACTGTATACGGGGGGGGGGGGGGCACCGGCAGTAGAAATAGCGGATATAGCTGGATTTTTAAGAGCAGTAATGGAGCCATAGACACACCATCGCAGCAGCTCCCCGCACTAGAAATTCCCATGAAAGGCAGTCAGTGTCACTCTAACTGACAGAACACACATAGGTGCTGTGGAAAACAGTAGAGCACTGTTCCACAAACTTACCCATCAGCACGCGACGGAACTTATTCGCAGGAATTGTTTGCACTTCTGCACACACAAAAAAACACAGCAGCACACATTCAGGAAATCCACAAGGAGGAGTACTATGTTCCCAGAACACTGCAAATAGCATTGGGCGAGCTGTATGGAGTCAGGCATACGCCGATCTACACAACAACAACGTCCGTGTTTGCAGTGTACAACAGTGCCATTGCAGCTACATGAACTACATGATAAGAGAGACAACAGTATTTGACAGTAGGCCTACTGGGCACAGAAAATACATGTAGTAGGTCTGGTCAGAATGATGGACCACTGTAAGAGTGCACATCCTACGGAAAGCTAACATTACTAGCAGTAACAATTTTACAACACTCACCATCCAGAATCATGATGCCCCACTCACGGCTTTGCAAGAACTCCATTACCTACACAAGCACAGTAATGATAAACGCAGCGAAAACACGCACACATTACACAAAACAAGCCAATGCCTCAAGCTGAGCGACGTGCAATCAAGTCCCATGGCTGATGCTTGTTTGTTTGTTTCGATTTTACTTCACCAGATACACAGGCATTTCTGCCTTCTCGTCTAGTGCCGGGCCTGATCTCTCTCTCACTGCACCTACTTCTGAAGTATCATGTACAATAGGACCCATACAACATACACAGTACACACTACTACACAGTGCTTTGAAACATACAACATCAAAACTAGGCACCTTGGAACTGGGGTACACCCTCCGGCCCTACGAAGAAAAGCCACACACAGCCCGAGGCATGAGAACAGACACAGGGGCACTGGCAAAGCAAAACCCACCTTCTCAGACTCCCAGGACCGTTTCTGTGAGTGCGACACCATGGAATAGGTACTGATAGCTATACTGCAGCCTGGATGAACAGCATCGTCAACAGTAGAAGAACACCAGAGAGAAAGTCAGATAGAACACTGTGGACTAGAAGAACAAACACTGGTAGGAAGTTGCCATGCAGGACAAAGCAAGAGATGCAGTGTACATCAAGAGAAGATACAAACAAGGGCACTTAAATGGTACGGCTGTGCACCAGACCAATGTGCAACGTACCATGCTGAGTGACTCTGTACACAGTCTTGCTGCGGCACCACGTGGCACACAACTCTAGTGGACAAAGATGGTCTAGGCCTGCAGAACAGTGTGTTTCCCCGTGCTAATTAGTACACGTACATGTGCATGTGTCATGTACATACCAATGGGCTTGTCCTTGGCATCACTGGTGAAGCGGCAGATGGAGCTCTCTTTCGCAGTAGACCACATCTTGAACTGCATACACAAGTGCACAAGGATGAAAGTTAGTGAAACACACACGCGAACACGCACACAGACATACATACATACAGACAGCCACACAGACACACACGTGAATTCCTAAGCAGAGCACAATAGAAGGTATGAGCAGCCACCTCCAAACCAACCTGAGACTTCCATTGCTCCACCGCTACTCCAGACGTGCACAGCACCAGTACCGGTTTGCCAACGGTACATGCAGCTGTCACACCAACCAGTGTCTTGCCAGCACCTAAACAGAACACCAATACAGCCAACAACATTCGTAATAATACACATGGCACACACCTCTAATAAATTAATACAATAAGAAGTTTATTAAGAACCAAGTCATTGAACCGAACATTCTGTATAGATTACCAAGTACATGTACTGTGTTCCTGGAAAACATTACACAAGGTCCTTGCAAAAAGCCATACAGCATTCGCAAATCTAATTAGCTGTGTGATGTGCATGTACAGGAAGCTAAGTCTTCGGAACGACTGTAAACCACATTAGCGTCATAGCAAGTGAACTTATTGAACACAGAAATATTCACAGCACCGGAAACTGACCACATGGAAGTACGATGACACCGCTGCGCGCTCTGCCATTTCCAAACATCTTCCTCAAGCTCTTCTCCTGCGATTCGAGAGAAGCAGAAACAACAAAGAACATTCTCAACAGTGTGCTTCTGCCAGCATCATTGGGATGAGAACAGCAAGTAGTTGCTCAGTAAGAGGTATACATAATATTAGTTGCAAGCACTTTAAGTATGCTACACTAGATTCAATCACTGGACAGCTAGCCGTATCAACCTTGTTAGGTTCTCCCAGCGGCGCTCATAGTGACTGGCCGACCTGATCATAAAGACGTTAAGTGATACTATAGCTGCAAACAAATACACTACAGTAGTAGCAGCGAGGCTAGCACTTCTTCAGACAAAGAGTAAACCAGGAAAGAGCATGAAAGCATTACTATACTGGTTGTAGACACACATAGCAAATGCTCACACAGATAAAGGAAGGGCAGCAAGAGCACAATCATACAGATAGTTAGCCTGTCACAGTTACAGTGTATATACGCATGCGGCATCATACCTGATATGGGCGAAGAACAGTGGTGGGCTTCAAGTCCATGCTGAAATGAAACAGACACAGATGCAAGATCAAATTAGCAAACCATACTTCGAAGTACAGTAAAACCTGTGACTACCGACCACCCCTTGGTGCCAGCAAAAGCGGTCTTTAGTAGCAGGTGGTCTTTAGTTAGAGGTTTGCACCGCGCGACCATGTATGGATCCCATTATATGATATGTATATCAAAATGCAGCTAATACAATTCTCCAAGACTTGCGTAATGCCATTCCTATTTCAGGTCAAACAACACTTGGAGAGAAAGACGGAGAGAGGGAGGGAGAGAGAGAGAGAGAGAGAGAGAGAGAGAGAGAGAAAAGATTTATATTTTACGGAGGATTAGCAAGGCGAAATTCGCGTTCGCGTTCGCAAACATTTTTCAGTTCGCGAACTGGATTGCGAACTTTCGCATTTTTCGTTCGGAAAAGTAGTCGGAACACGAATCGCGGATTCGTGTCAGGGCAGTTATAAATTTACCACGCTGTACTGTCTGTACACAATGTACGTCGTGTCAACGTCATGCATGTGCGAATTCTGTTTGCTAATCCTTTCTCATAACGCGAATTCCGTCACTGAGTTCGACTTTCCTTGGAGAGCGAACGCGAACGCGAATTTCGTCTTGCTAATCCTCCGTGTTTTTGCGGACATCAAATTCAGCTCCTACTTCTGAAGCCAGGAGTCAAACGTTTCCTGTGGAAGTTTCGTTTTGCGCCGGGCTTAAAATTTGTTCATGCGATCAATCGTACCGACTGTCCTTGTTGCGACTTCTCGATTGCTTGAACGCGATCCTTCAGCATCAGGACCTTGCGTTGCTGCTTTGTTTCTGGATTCCTTGCTGTCATCGTCGATTCGTCTGTATTACTGGGGTGACAGAGCCGCTTACTAGTAGTCTTCGTTTCTCCTCCGAGTGAGTAACATCGATCAGAGAGCGCTTTCGATGCGCTATCCAAGACGTTTCCTATCATGTTTATTCTAGACAGCGCTTGAAATTCAGACAGGTGTAGTGCAGTCCACACAGATTCCACAGTCAAAATGACCTGCGCTCATTTGTTCGGCTGTAGTATCGAAAGATTCCTCTCAGGACCACGGAAATGCATCAAAATTTCAAGACGGAGAATTGAGCAAAATTTGATTTCCTACAGCGCGGTCGCTAGTTACGGGTCAAAAATCGTCTTTGGGACAAGAAAAGGCGGTCGCTGGTCGCGTTCAGCAGGTAGTCGCTAGTCACAGTGCATTTTGAATGTGAGACCGTCCGTGCCTGGCCAAGTGGTCGGTAGTACCAGGCTGGTCGCTAGTCACGGTGGTCTTTAGTTACAGGTTTTACTGTAGTAGCAGGCTGGTCGCTAGTCACGGTGGTCTTTAGTTACAGGTTTTACTGTAGTACCAGGCTGGTCGCTAGTCACGGTGGTCTTTAGTTACAGGTTTTACTGTACTACTACTGGTCATGCCACAGTGCAGGGTTCGACAAGGTTTGGCTAGAGAATAGGCTTTATTCAACTCAACGTTTGCAGATAAGGCAAACAAACCGGTTTCAATCAAAGACAAACATTTGTACGAGTGCTTCAGAGCAGCATACATGACTGAAAGCAACACTCAACAGATGCGCTTCAGCGTTTGCTGTCCGTCAACAGACAAGGTGCCATGTGCATGGAAAACTGAATCATCTACCTGATAGCCATTAGAAGAGACTGTTTTTAAAAGAGAGAGAGAGAGAGACAGAGAGAGAGAGAGAGAGAGAGAGAGAGAGAGAGAGAGAGAGAGAGAGAGAGAGAGAGAGAGAGAGAGAGAGAGAGAGAGAGAGAGAGAGAGAGAGAGAGAGAGAGAGAAGAGAGAGAGAGAGAGAGAGAGAGAGAGAGAGAGAGAGAGAGAGAGAGAGAGAGAGAGAGAGAGAGAGAGAGAGAGAGAGAGAGAGAGAGAGAGAGAGAGAGAGAGAGAGAGAGGGAGAGGGAGAGAGAGAGAGGGAGAGAGAGAGAGAGAGAGAGCACTGGGTTTAAATCGTACTCAATATCAGCGTTGGCAGTGTCATGCTTGAAGTCGTACTCGGCCAGCAAGGGGTACTCCATAGCGATGCATCTGTCGAAGAAAAAGCAAAAAGACACGCATCACATCACGGTACATGCATGCACAGCCTAGTTTGCATTTCATAAACACATCGGTGCTGAGATATGACAACAGGTTGTGTACTAGAATGCACTACATTTAGTCATTTACACAAAACGGTGCTCACAGGCTGCTGTGTAAGAATACACTGCTCAAGATCAATCTACGCGACACTAGAGAATGAAGAGCCACGATGAGCTTGGGCTCAACATACACCCCCTGTCATACTACAGGTCTGACATGTATGCACATACACATGCACAACAAAATAGTGATACAGTAAAACCTGTGACTACCGACCACCCCTTGGTGCCAGCAAAAGCGGTCTTTAGTAGCAGGTGGTCTTTAGTTAGAGGTTTGCACCGTGTGACCATATATGGACCCCATTATATGATATGTATGTCAAAATGCAGCTAATACAATTCCCCAGGACTTGCGCAATGTCATTATTATCAATTTTCAGGTCAAACAACACTTGGAGAGAAAGACGGAGAGATGGAGAGAGACACAGAGAGAGAGAGAAGATTAATTTTTTGCAGACTTCAAATTCAGCTGCTACTTCTGAAGCTAGAAGTCAAACGTTCCCTGTGTAGACTACTGGGGAAGTTTCGTTTTGCGCTGGCCTTCAAATTTGTTCATGCGATCAATCGTACCGACTGTCCTTGTGACTCCTCGATTGCTTGACCGCGATCCTTCAGCATCAGGACCTTGTGGTGCTGCTTTGTTTCTGGAGTCCTTGATGCCATCGTCGATCCGTCTGTATGACTGGGGTGACAAAGCCGCCCAGTCTTCGTTTCTCCTCCGAGTAGTAACATCGATCAGAGAGCGCTTTCGATGCGCTCTCCAAGACGTTTCCTATCATGTTTATTCTTGACAGCGCTTGAAATTTTGACAGGTGTAGTGCAGTCCACACCGACTCCACAGTCAAAATTACCTGCGTTCATTTGTTCAGCTGTAGTATCGAAAGATTCCTTTCAGGACCATGGAACATTAGCAAAATTTCAAGGAGCTTCGAGCAACATTTGATTTCCCACATCGCGGTCGCTAGTTACGGGTCAAAAATCGTCTTTGGGACAAGAAAAGGCGGTCGCTGGTCGCGTTCAGCAGGTAGTCGCTAGTCACAGTGCATTTTGAATGTGAGACCTTCCGTGCCTGGCGAAGTGGTCGGTAGTACCAGGCTGGTCGCTAGTCACGGTGGTCGGTAGTGCCAGGCTGGTCGCTAGTCAAGGTGGTCTTGAGTTACAGGTTTTACTGTACTTTGATATGCCCGTACCTTCTCTGCAGAGCTTCGATGTGATCTTGTGCAACTTCAAACGATAGTACTTGTCTCTGTTGTGAGCACATAAAGTAGTAGAAGAACAACACTGGTACATACAAAGCACAATTTGAATGCATTTCAACCACCTTGGAGATCACTACTTCACACAACTGCAGCCCTACGATACAAGAACAATGCGCACACATACACAGACAGCACCCGTAGCTAACTTACCTCCTCCTGCTCATCGTCATCATGGTCGATCTGTGTCAGGTAATCGGAGATGTCAGTCGGAATTGCCTTCTTCTCTCCATCCTGTACAGGCACCAGACAGACACACATACAAATACAACGCGCCGCACAATCCACTTCAGCAACACAAGAAATGGACACTCTGAGATACTGGCAACTAGTATCACACCACACCAGAAACTGCAGGCATCACAAGGACCCCTACATCATCAGCAGTCATAGTACTGTCATAAAGACATGCAACAAGGAGAAGACAAAGGATGTGTCTGGCACGTGTAAGCTCTTGCACCACTTGAGAGGAAAGACTACACGGAGCAACTCGCTCTGTTGGAAGCGCCATCTCATAGCTACTGGCTCAGCAGCCGGGTTAATGAACCCCTTGACGCGACGCATACTAGTAGGTAGCCTTCTTACCTCACCACCTGCCTTCTTCTCATCAGGTCCTGGCCTGAATACACATATACACATAGAGGAAGGCAAGGAGAGGGAGAGAGATAGGGAGAGAGAGAGAGATAGGGAGAGAGAGAGATAGGGAGAGGGGGGGGGGGGAGAGAGAGGGGGGGGGGGAGAGAGAGAGAGAGAGAGAGAGAGAGAGAGAGAGAGAGAGAGAGAGAGAGAGAGAGAGAGAGAGAGAGAGAGAGAGAGAGAGAGAGAGAGAGAGATAGGGAGAGAGAGAGGGGGGGAGAGAGAGAGAGAGAGAGAGAGAGAGAGAGAGAGATAGGAAGAGAGAGAGAGGGGGGGGGAGAGAGAGAGAGAGAGAGGGAGAGAGAGAGACACACACACACACACACACACACGTGCGCGCACACAAATGGCAACATACGCGACAATCCTAACAAAAGCAACAGAAGTGGACCAAAATAGGGCATATTTTCTATTTCTCTACAAAAGACATGAGTTATAAATTATAATCGTCTTCAGGTGAAGATCATTTTAAAACACATCAAAATAAATCAATACAGTACTGTTGGGCTGTGTTTACATGAGAAATTTCAACCCGGGTCGAGTTCAGCCCGGGTTGAAAGTCTGTACGACAAACAAAAGAGGTGAGCGTTTACATGAAGACAGTTGACCCGGGTCAAATACTGATATGCCGCCAAAAGTCCACTTCTACAGTCCTGTATGGTCACGTGAATCCGTTCGCGCGTAATTTGCATCTGCAGTGCTGTCCAAACCTGGCGCGAGATACGCACAGAAGTACGTTTGTACGATTTTCTTGACCCGGGTTGATTTCAACCCTCCCCTTGGGGGGAGGTTTGAAATCAACCCGGGGCGAAATTTCAACCCGGGTCAAGCGCAATGCGTCATATAAACGCGCCATTCACTTTGTGCACATGGCAGGTTGAAATCTGACCCGGGTCTAACTCAACCCGGGTTGAAACGCTTGATGTAAACACAGCCTTAGGTACCTCCTCCCGTACCTTTTCTAGCTGGCCTGCATGCACTTACGTATTCACCTTTTGTCTCCTTTTGTTCCGTTGGCCTGGGTAGCTACTTGCGCGCCCATATTTGCCATAGCTACCCAGGCCCTTTATCTTGCCGTTCAGACTTGATCTCTCTCTCTCTCTTTTCTCACTCGTCAATAATCACCATGTAGTCGTTTCGTTCGTCTTGGTCTCTTGTCTCGTCGTCTATAATAAATGTCGTTCCCACTAACTTGTTCCCGTTGTCAGTCGTCCTGTTTCGAACTCAACATTGGCGCCCGATTATTGATCGACCCACGACCCTGAGATCATCCCATGCCCAGCCGTCCTCAACCACCATTCGTCTCGTCTATGTCAACCTCGTCTCGTCCATGTCAGTCTCGTCTCTCCTACGCCAACCTCGTCTCGTCTCTATCAACCTCGTCTCTCCTACGCCAACCTTACCACGTCTATTCTCGTTCAAGCCATGCAGGTCAGCTACCTTTCTCTCTTTCTTTTTTTTTGTATGCTTCTTCGTCAAATTTATTTTCGTGAATTTCTTTTGTAGTGTGTGCGCGCGCGTGTGTTCGTAAAACATAACCAAGTTAGGGGTCCGATCATGGTGAGCCACGCTCTAATTTTTGGATGTTTAGCAAAAGTGTAACTAGGCTGTATTAGCCGTGCAAAATACTAGTAATTCACGTTCCTCGTCAAACTCCAATAGTTATTACACACAAAAAGTAGTACAGGAATGATCTGTACGAGTACACACTTTCGTGAGATCCATGCGTGCGTGCAGTATGTGTGTGTTTTCTCCTCCAGTTCATTTTTTAAAATCTTTTTCTCTTTTTTTTCTCTCCGCGAGGACGCGGGATTTTTTTTCATGGAGGGGTGGTATGTTAGGTACCTCCTCCCGTACCTTTTCTAGCTGGCCTGCATGCACTTACGTACTCACATTTTGTCTCCTTTTGTTCCGTTGGCCTGGGTAGCTACTTGCGCGCCCATATTTGCCATAGCTACCCAGGCCCTTTATCTTGCCGTTCAGACTTGATCTCTCTCTCTCTCTCTTTTCTCACTCGTCAATAATCACCATGTAGTCGTTTCGTTCGTCTTGGTCTCTTGTCTCGTCGTCTATAATAAATGTCGTTCCCACTAACTTGTTCCCGTTGTCAGTCGTCCTGTTTCGAACTCAACAGTACCAAGAACTACATGTGAGGAAAACACTTTTCACAGGGTCCAGCACACTTGTTGTTGCTATTGTTTTTTTTGAATTCTTTATTCTCACGATGACACCATCGCCAATAGGAGCTGTTGTTGTTGTTGTTTTGGTTTTGCTTTGAATTCTTTATTCTCTTGTTGTTGTTGTTGTTGTTGTTGTTGTTGTTGTTGTTGTTGTGGTCAATGTGGTTGTTGCTGGACTAGACACGTAGGACTGTCCAATGAGAAAGTGGTGAATGCAGTAATGGACAGTCACATCTGCTGACTGCCAGGAGGCACCTTAGCAAATAGCAGCCAACGCCTGTGGAAACACTGATGCTCCATTGTACCTTGACCCAGAAGTCCCTGGGATTCCAAAAACACTCACCGTTTCTGAGAGTTGCCACCAGCACCAGCCCCACCACTAGAAGAACCGCCACTGAAAAGAGATCCAACCTGCACAAAAGCAAGTTTAGGACAAACAGGCCACGGTATCATAACGTTACAATAGCTTGAGTATATACCAGGGCTAGGCCCACCTCTAAATCCAGTCAACTTCACAAAGGGGAGGCTGCAAAGACGCACGTGCATAGAGTACGTTTTAGGGCTGGAGCAAATGCTCAAAAAAGCGACTAAATACGCTTCTTCAGATATTTGCTAGCAAAATGGCGAGTTTCTGTGACAATGAACATTTGAAACCTATTGAAGCCGAGAATATTCTTTTCCAACCTGAACATTCCGAATATTCTTTTCAGCTCTAAATGGAGTAGAGTAAGACCTGGCATTACAAGCCACCCTGACCAGCGATCAACCCATCACTAATGGCCACTTTACTTCAAAAGCACCAGTGGCAGTAGTTAACTTATTCGTTTTCCATGCTGCCTGGATTAGGAAGCTCCAATGTTTCAATGCGACACTGGATGGCAGTCAAGCATTTGCCAAAGCTCATGTCAGACATCCGGACTCGGTGCTATCTTCTAGTCTCCTTCTGTCTTGGGTTGGTGTGCAGAAGGCCGGCTCAGTTCTCTGTGCACGTTGTACATGCACGGCAGGACTTTGTCAGACCTGTTCTAACATTGCTGTTTTCCTGCTTGCTCTAGTTTCAAGAACGTCAAGCAACCAGCGGAACGCATGCACACCAGAGTCCTGCCAATGCCTAGCACCCACAATGCAGAGTGTAGTGTACGCTTGCTAAGTTGAGATTGGCTCTACTGCACTCACTACTTCTATGAAGAAGGAAAAGGGATCTCAGCTCAAGTCGCCTACTGCAACTGTGAGCTGGCCAGGACCGATAGACTCTTGTGCACCTCCGAAACTCACAACCTCTTCACTGGCCTTACATCTGTGTCCAAGCAAGCTGCATCGAAACATCCAGTGCTCCAGGCTTCAGCAACAACCCGTACATTCGTGCGAAGCCGGCTAGACTGCCTCCAGTGCTGACTGGTCTGCATAAAGACGCCATGCTTGGTGTTCCATTTACTTTTGTCCAAGCAAACAACGAATCTACTGGCAGTGAGCGCATGTGTGCGCATATTAAAGTGGGCATGTGTGCGTGTGCAAGCGAACTCCGGGCAACGGATCATGGCCCAATGATTATCCTGGCATAGTACATGTACATAGATTAACAAAGTAACAGCATTGCCTGAACTCTCACACTCATCGTCGACGTCTCCTTGGATGTCCTCTGGCTGAGATCTTCCTCACCATCAACCACAATCCTAAGCAGAATACACAGTTGGTCAAGCAAAAACAACAAGATACAGTGAAGCCTCGTTAAGAAGAACACCGATAAGACAAACTTTCGCTTTAGAAGATTATAGTATTCAGAACTCTATGGGATAAATCACTCTGAATTCACAAGGTATAAAATATGGATAAGAAGAACTCCCGTTATTGCAAACAAATACCACTGGTCCCTTCGTGTTCGTCCCAAAGAGGGTTGACGGTATGCAGCACAGTGGTAACGCGATTAAATAAATACTGAAATAAGCCGGTGTTCAAACAGCCATAAGGCATGACTGTGAGCATCAGTTACTGAGGACCATTGCACTGGTGACTGCTGTTGGAAAAGAAACTGACCCAAGGCTTTACCGCCATTAAGCTATCAAAAGGTCCCCCCCCCCCTTCTCTCTCTCACTTTCTCTCTCACACACAGACACAGAGCACAGCATACATACCTGGCTTGTTGGATCTCCGGGTCTTGCAAGAGTTTCTGCAGAACGTCCTAGTACGTAGCACAGCAGCAAGACAATACTAATGAGATGTCATTGTCCAAAGCATAATTATTGTTATTATTACTGCATACTTCATGATGAATATAGCACACTGGGCTCCAGTAGCTAGTTGATTGTTCATGGGTCAGAGAAGCTCTGGATACGAAACCCGTAGACGGAAAACCAAAGTTCAGGGTCATGCTCTGAGGACAGCAAATCGACATCGACCACACCTTTGAACATACGCACAGACCAAGACCAACATAGTACATGTACACGTGAAGGATCAGCACAGACTTACTGGATATTCACTCTCCACAAAGTAGCGATTCTCACGCAGGACAAGCTTGACTTTGCCATAGCTTGACGTGCACATCTAACAAACAATCCAGATCATAGTTATCGCTACAGTGTCAAGTCAACTGGACACTAGCAGCAGCAGTGGCAGCAGCAACAGCAACATTGGCAGCATCATCATCATCATCAGCAGCAATGATAACAGGGGATGAGAGCCCAATATAGTATCAGTATCAGTACATCTAACAGAGAGTGCATAAACCGGGATTTCAATACTCTTTGATAGGAATGGAGCACAACTGCAAGAAGGAGAAAACAGTCACAACGATCCAACTTGAATTCAGACATTCACACATCTAATTACTCTTCACCGTTGACAGCTGATATTTCACAGGGGAGACACTCTGAGACAGTGCAGACTGCTCTTCAGATTCAAACTTGAGAGCCAGGTGGACAACTTAGAAGTATCCAATGCCTAGACAGTGTAGACACTGTACTGCACACCAAATGGAGTAAGGGGACGGTAACTACTTCCAGGATCTAGTAGTAGCAGTGGTTAGGTGTGTGTGTGTGTGTGTGTGTGTGTGTGTGTGTGTGTGTGTGTGTGTTGCGTGTGTGTGTGAGCGTGCGTGCGTGTGTGTGTGTGTGTGTGTGTGTGTGAGAGAGAGAGAGAGAGAGAGAGAGAGAGAGAGAGAAGAGAGAGAGAGAGAGAGAGAGAGAGAGAGAGAGCGAGAGAGAGAGAGAGAGAGAGAGAGAGAGAGAGAGAGAGAGAGAGAGAGAGAGAGAGAGAGAGAGAGAGAGAGAGAGAGAGAGAGAGAGAGAGAGAGAGAGAGAGAGAGAGAGAGAGAGGGAGAGAGAGAGAGAGAGAGAGAGAGAGAGAGAGAGAGAGAGAGAGAGAGAGAGAGAGAGAGAGAGAGAGAGAAGAGAGAGAGAGAGAGAGAGAGAGAGAGAGAGAGAGAGAGAGAGAGAGAGAGAGAGAGAGAGAGAGAGAGAGAGAGAGAGAGAGAGAGAGAGAGAGAGAGAGAGAGAGAGAGAGAGAGAGAGAGAGAGAGAGAGAGAAAGAGAGAGAGAGAGGAGTGTAATCGCAACCTTGCCTGATAAGTGATAACTCATACCTTGATAAATTCAACGATGCCACCGGGAATGCTTGTCTTGCTGAGACGTCGCAGGTACTCAATGATATCAGCCGTCTGAATAGAACACAAAGAAGGAGAAAAAACCAGTGATCACAGTGAAACATAGAAGCCTGTAAAACTGTACAACACAATATTAGACTGATCTCAAGTAGAAACACTGCAGTAAACCAACAAAAATAAGATAGCGGACCCAAGGTCTTTTACTCAGCCTATATGGTACACTCAGTATGGCATCATTTCTCTATTTGTCGTCACTGTCTCAAAATGGCATCACCTGTTTACTTTGTGCCTATAAGGCTTCACTGAGACTTTCTCTATGTAACTCCAGGTCATTCTCTATATTCCAACTCAGGTTTTGTATGGAGAAGTTGGCAATCTGAGTTGGAGCCATACAGAGAAAGTCTCAACCTGAGTGGAGAGATATAGGGAAAGTCGCGTCTAGAGTTATATAGAGAATGACCTGGACTTATATAGAGAAAGTCGCAGTGAAGCCATATCGGCACAAAGTAACCAAGTGATGACATATAGAGGAGTGAACACATATAGAGAGCTTGTGGACTACTGAGTGCTACATATATTTCCCATATACTGATATAGACTTCACCCTGGTCAATATTCTATACATATATAGAGGGATACTCGCTTGCAGCCTATCAAATCATATCTTCTGAAAATTGTCATGTTGCTGACTGAGGATCGGTTAAAACCGTGAAGCTCAGAGTTACAGCAGAAACGCTTTTGATTCCTCTCAAGTGTGTGTATATAGAGGGATATTATTATAGAGGGAAGAGGGTGTTGTTGAATGTGGGAATGTTGAGGTGTCCGCAGCAGAGACGGCAGTTTAGGCGAGGCTAGAGCAGGCCAACAAACACTGGTATGCAAAAAGGTATATGCACATGCTTCATTGCTATTGCTAGCCATGGAAGGTATGATGTTCATTCCATAGAATAATCTGGTCTTCGTGACGTGCACATGCTACGTTACAAACCCGCACAATAGAAATACAATGTACATGTAGGTGCACATTGCCCCTTCTACCAGGACTCTTCCAAAACGACATGTTTGAAGACTATCAACAAATTCATATTTCTTTTCAAAGTACATGTACAAGCAACATCAACTTTGCCAAATGCTCACCTGCAGGCCGACGGAGGCAGCTGCATACAGCGAGTACGCTGTCAACCTGAGGATAGGTACAAGTACAAATAGGTACAAGTACAAATAGGTACAAGTACAAATAGGTACATAAGGACACGTGTAAATTATTGGGACATTGACATAGACATACATGTAGTATCTCCGCTTACTCAAACAAAAATAAACCACGCCTGGAACAAGCACGGCCAGGGGAATAGGATGACCAAGTTGCAAGCTTAATCGCACCGCACACAGATGTTTAAACTTTACTTTTAAATATGGCTGAAAATGATTTCTGTGGAGACTTCATTTTTCTTCCATTTGCCATTTCCCATGCCAGGAAAGCGCACCACAAGATGCCACTAAACAGATCTCCATTGCTCACTTGTATTCATGAAGGCGCTCCGGCCGAGACAAAGGCTCCGATATGGCGATAAGGAAATCGTGAGCATGCTTGTACACGGGCGAAAACGTCTCCAGAAATATGTGTCCATCAGGTGCCTGCACAAACAGGTTTCATGTTAAACGTGAACATACAAACAGCTACGTGAACATCCATGCATCAGTGCATTCATACGTGAACATCCATGCATCAGTGCATTCATACGTGAACATCCATGCATCAGTGCATTCATACGTGTACATCCATGCATCAGTGCATTCATACGTGTACATCCAAGAACATTTGCACACTCATCTCCATCTGGGAACTTCTCTCACCCGGGTGCACTTCTGAGCCTGCTGAGTATATATTTTCACTACTACATGTATACTCCAAGAGTGCTGGAGCAGGTTGTTCGTTACGCAGTGACTGTCAACATGATGTGTCATAAGTACTAGCAAGTAGGTGTACATAATCATGATACATGTACAGTAGTGATCTTGAGTTACGGATTTTTCTGAGTTTCAAACCCCCTTCGGTCCCAAGGTGCCCGGAAAAGCAAGGGTTGAGTGCACCTTCTCACCTCTTCTCTACGCCTACAATCAAAGGCCTGTGGAGTTACCCACTTAGTGCTTATTTGTACTGGCAAAGCAAAGCACTATGGGTCATGACTCATGAGCAACACTTCTGCACATGTATTGAATCTATTGATGTACCGTAACAACTAAAGTACCGTTGATCCCCCCCCCCCCCCCCCCCCCCCACACGCCAGTTGATCAATACCTCTCGCCCTGCCAGAGCGGATTTCGCAGCGGGAGAAGTACAGCGGATGCTGTGTACTCCTACAGATGGTTGGCAGCAAGATGCCAAAGAGTAAAGGAAGATATCGCCATTTTGGGAATTGACATGTCGAAAGCCTTTGACACTATTTCAAGACCAAAGCTCATGAACGTGCTGGAGACTATTGTGAACCGGGACGAATTACATCTTATTCAGTGCTTACTTACGGATACCACCATTAAAGTACGGCTAAACAACATCCTGAGCCAGCCACTTGAAACATACAATGGGACTCCACAGGGAGATTCTCTGTCGCCGGTATTGTTTACGATATACCTGGAAGCTGTGTTAAGAGAGGTACGAAACCGTCTACCGCCGCGACCAGACCGAGACGTCCAGCTGCTTCTGCCCGGAGAGTCGGAATATGCAGATGATGTGGACTTCATCAGTACCGACCAAAAGTATCTAAAAGATTGCCTTCCTACAATATCCTCTTCGTTAGCAGAGTGGAACTTGAAGATGAATGAGGGGAAGACGGAACACACCATGATAAGCAGACAAAAGGATCGAATAGAGGAACCGTGGCGACACACAATAAAGCTGGGCTCGATGCTTGGAGTGGATGAGGACATAGGCAGACGAAAGCGGTTGGCTACAAGCGCACTTCACCGGATGTGGGTGATATGGCTGAGAGGGCAACACATCAGAGAGTCTCTACGAGTGCGCCTCTATAATAGCTTCATTCTACCAATCCTGCTTTATAACTGTGGCACGTGGAGTCTCACGGGGACACAGGAGCGGAAATTGGACTCGTTCCACAGGCAGCAGCTGCGAACAGTGATAGGCATTAAATACCCGCTCATAATAAAGAACACTTCCCTGTATAAACGCACAGAATCTCGCCCCGTGAGCCAAATCATCAGAGATGCTAGATGGAGGCTGTTTGGTCATGTGCTGCGTTTGGAAGAGGCAGCCCCAGCCAGACGTGCCATGGGAGCTTACTTCTTAGGGGGTAACGGCCCCAGCTTTAGGGGACGCCCAAGAACAACGCTCCCGCGAACGCTCAATAATGATCTCAAAAAGCTGAAAAATAATACCGCCCTAGAGACTGGCGATGACTTGAACATGCTGCAGCAGCTTGCCCAAGACCGTCGACAGTGGCGGGAACTGGTGAAGGCTGTATGTAGCTGCTAATGAAACAATGGACATAATTTATACCTTTATATATAGATAATGGAGATGACTGCAACAGGCTGCAGCAGCTCGCCCAGGATCGCCCTCAGTGGCAGGACCTGGTGAAGGTTGTATGTAGCCGCTAATGCAACAATGGACATAACTTTGCGTTTCCATCTTGTCTTTTTTTGTGATTGTGATGCTTGATGTGCACTGTGCTTCCTCGCATTCACTTGCTCCTTCTTGCAGCTTGTCTCTTTTGTTTGTTTTTTGTTTTGTTTTGACGCTCTGTGTGCATTGCGCTTCCTCGCGCTCACTTGCTCCTTCTTGCGGCTTAAGCGAAGGCTATATGTGAGCTTTATAAGCTCACTGATGCTAACGCGAATAGAGCATAATAATAATAATAATAATAAATATTATGTAAGCACATTTGCTTTGCCCGTACAAGAGGCTTGTCCATAGGTAATGGCTGCTCTTTGAATGTTATGGCTCATTAATAATGCAAGAATGGGCACACTGTAGAGGAGACGGTTCGATACCGGAACGCTGGCAGGATACAGCCACTGGAACGCAGGCAGGGCAGGTAGCCAGACTGGCACTGCAGTTGAATGGCTGGATACACGTACCCATACACACAACACACAAAGCAGTCAAGAGATGAAGAAAGTGTCTGCTCGGCACATCTTTTGTACAGTCAAGAGATATTAGGATATTTGGAGGAGGTGGTAGCCTAAAACAGGCTCGACAAAAGTTACCGGCTTATGCCAACAACTCAGTGTTCTGGTAGAGTAGACGGTTCGATACCGGAACGCCTTGACAGCCAAATTTGTATAGACCCAAACCGATCATCAGCGTTGATTTTTCACTCGAAATATGTTTGTGGAAGGAAACTGGCATTTTGGAGTTTGCTCTGGGGCCAAAGTCAATCGAATTGAGCCACTCCTTTGTGTTGACCCATTGCCTCCAAGTTGCCCAATTTTTCGCTTCAAAAAAGTTCGGGAGGGGCAGGAATTAGATCAAGTCGTTCAAGTGCAGTACGATGTACAACAAAGCAAAAGATCAGACCTGGCATGCTGGATTGTGCACATTTTCATCCTGCAGTACATGCGTGGTTCAGCATCGTATTTCGTTGTATACGCCGACGTCGCTTCACAGGCAGAAATTCGACAGGGGGCTGAAACTAGAGCGGGGTGGATCAACGGTACTTACGGTATATAATATTATCAAGAATAATAATATCGAAAACGTACTATGAACAGTGGTCGAGATGCTGCATCCGGCTTCAGCTGAAGAAGTTTGCGGAAGTCCTTGGCGCCATACTCATCCTACATGTGCACACATGCACACATATATACGTACATACACATGCACGCGTGCACACACATGTACACACACACACCACCCACCCACACCCACGCACACCCACACGCACACACACACACACACACACACACACGCACGCACGCACACACACACACACGCACGCACACACACGCACACACACACACACACACGCACACACACACATGGACACGCAGTCATACAAATGCATTAATTAAATCCAAGCTGCAGTCCTCCACACTGAGCTTGATTCACACAGATACATGTAGACGTGATAGCGAATGCACAGTGCATACAACACATTCACATGCATAAATCAACAGATGAGGAAAGCTCCTGCAGATGGTGGCACAAGTCAACACAGTAGACACGAAAGACGCGAAGCTGCTGCACTGACCTCTCCAGTCCTAGTGGTGACTTCTGAACTACATGCAGCCCTGGGGAGTTCTACAGCAGGTCAAACCGGACAGATACATAATCACACAGGCATAGTTGGTACAGTACTGTCGGTCGCCGAAGAACTGGGGGTCAGCCTCCTAGCCTAGACCGTTCTTATTTTCATGTATATTGCTGTCTAGACACAGCTGAGTCACCGTGTATACATTGGCATGCTGTGCTTGGTAAAATTCTAGCCTGGTGGGTCGTTCTTCGGTGCCCGACAGTACTCTACCATGGTTGGTCTTGTGTTTGTTCTCGTCAAATAATGAATAGATATCAGTGCAAACAAGCAAATGATTGATCCTAGTATCAAGCGTACATGTACATAACCATGAGTGTCCGCACACGAAGCACAGAAGCCATGTAATTTTTTCGACTAGGCCTTTCATTCCATTACTCTTCAGGTTGAATACAATGGTGATTAACAAGGTAGTAAGCAAGTCCTTATAACCGGCACTTTTGGGTAAGTTGAAAAAATTATATGGCTTCTGTGCTTCGTGTGCTGATTTGCTTTCCTCCAACCAAAAATCTATTCAACCATGAGTGTGCAACTGGGCAATCCCAAGCTTGGCCTACGATGAAACTTTTAGACATCAGTCTTTCGCAGCCATTTGGCTTGCTGATCCATCAGGTGCAGCCAGAGATCAAAAGTGCGAAGAACTTTTCACACGTTGCAACCACGATAGCCAAAGCAAACAACGGACGGTAGATCCATACGTCCCGAGCTCGATGAACTGACAACGCTGTGCTAAAAGAGCTACGCAATTGATCATATTTCTGCCAAAAAAATGACGGAACAAAGAGTCCAGCCATCGACGAGTCCAGCGCAGCTCAGGATAGGAGTCGCACACTCTTGGTTACATGCTCTTGTTTATACGATACCCATGATATTATGGTTTGACCAAACAGAACGATGCCAGTTTTAAAATCACATTGTGCATAACATTGCCACACACGCAGACACAACATAAGCGCCATTGAGTACTTCAGTCATACAGGGTAATATAACACACCTGATGGATTTCTGTCGTCACCGTCCTCCTGTAGGGACAAGTAACACAAAGAACACAATGCTGCGTGTAGCTGCCAATATCGGTGGTGCACTCACACAGCCAGACCCTTCAACACTATAGTGGAACTCTAAGACGGTATCCCTACAGGGATCAAGAAAGTGCACTTAGGTGTGAACGACAAGATTGTATCATTGCGTGAATAAAAGTAACTTTTTAACCAGTGTGAGTTACGAAGTCTGAAGAAAAATGTTGAACGGTCTCTGCTGGGATGACGACTACACCATAGCTCAGTGGCTAGAGCATCGCTAGCTACAAGCGAGGGTCCCTGGTTCGAGTCCTGGTGGTGACAGTCTTCAGACTTTTCCCGTTTGTGTCTTTCCCTCAAACTAGTGAAATAAAGTGTTTAACCATTGGTGTGTACTAGTGCCCATCAAGTTTGGATGGCCAAAAAATCAAAATCTGACGTGCGGTTTGTACTCCGAATGTCAAAAAGATGCGGATTTGCCCGAAAAGGACTTCCCATAATCAAGTGGCAGACAACCAACTCCAATGCTCCTCACTTGACATATTGCCACTTGATTAGAGGATGCCTGTGGATGATGCGAAGTTTCGAAGGTACCGTATTTTCCGGGGTGTGTTAGCCGCACAGGGGTCTAAACCGCCACCCCGTTTTCGGGAAAATTCGCATCTTCTTGACATTCGGAGTACAAACCGCATGTCAGATTTTGATTTTTTTGGCCATCCAAACTTGATGGGCACTAGTTCCAGCAAGTCATAGGTTGCACCTTTTGCCTTTATTGCTGTAGGCCAATGCTTTGCAGTGCATCATCTATTGAATGCTGCATGCTTTCCCTTCATCCTTCTTTGCCCAGACGTATTGAGAACAGATAACCAGAATACAACTACGCTACTGCTAGGCACACTGTGCAGTCTATTTTTATTTGAAAGATTTATTTGAAAGATACTTGCTCTTGTTTTCGAGCTGTCTTGATATTATTTTCTGTGTTGCCTATTCTGCACTGCGTATGTGGCACCTCATTGACCCCGCTTGTTCCTCATTAATTTTCTTCATTCCATTTGGCTTATGCGAAGGCTAGCCAAGCTTGCTTTACGATGCCAACGAGAAAAAGCTGATAAAATAATAATAATAATTTCTTAAAGGGGAAGTTAAAGCAAAAATTAAAATTTCACCATTTGCAGTCTTCGGGGTGCTGAGTCGAATGGTCTTGGTCCGAGAAAGGTGAGACGCTCCCTTCCTACTTGAATCCCAATCGAACTCGCGCACTTCCACCGAAACTGGGTGACTGCGCCCTACTAGATGGGGATTTGTATGCAAAATGTCACTAAAAGCGCCATTTCGTTCTTATAAAAGCACGGATGACCGCGATTGGCCCATATGTTGTAGTCTTTTGGACGCTGAGTCGACTGGTTTTGGTCCGAAAAGGCTGCGATGCAGCGTTCCTCCTTTATAGCCAATCGAACATGGTTGAACAAGCGGTCACGTGCTCCTGGGTGCCCAAATCACCTGGTCACCACGCCAGCAGGCGACAACTTTCACACCAAGGTTCAACTCGAGTGACAGGACTGCACCCAAAAAAGGTCAAACAGGCAAGTAAGTTGTACCCTGCAGGCACGGTGACCAGGTGACTGGTGTACGCAGGAGCACGTGACCGCTAGTTCAACCATGTTCGATTGGGAATAAAGGAGGAACGCTGCATCGCAGCCTTTTCGGACCAAAACCAATCGACTCAGCGTCCAAAAGACTACAACATATGGGCCAATCGCGGTCATCCATGCTTTTATAAGAACGAAATGGCGCTTTTAGTGACATTTTGCATACAAATCCCCATCTAGTAGGGCGCAGTCACCCAGTTTCGGTGGAAGTGCACGAGTTCGATTGGGATTAAAGTAGGAAGGGAGCGTCTCAGCTTCCTCGGACCACGACCATTCGACTCAGCACCCCGAAGACTACAACTGGTGAAATTTTAATTTTTGCCCTAGACTTCCCCTTTAATACGAACTTAGCGTGTATTGAGCAGGGAGTGGTGCTTTCTTGCAGGTTTGCCGAGTGGAAGGTGCGACGTGCTCCTCGTGTGCTGCGGATGGCAGTCGTGAGTCAGTCAAGTGTCAAGTTCGGCAAGAAGCGTGTGTTCCTAGTTGGAACAATCAACTTCCCCTTTAATGTGCGCAATAATAATAGGTCGGTTGACCTTATGTTAGCTTGCCCGTAATGTCTCGATGTGTCTCAGTCTGTGTGTTTTATGATGGTGGTGCATTATGTGCTGTGTGACAAGCCGAGGGGCGTGAATTTCTGCCATATGCCCCCCAGTCATGTATTGTCTTTCTCTGCATATGCCGTTGTATCCCATCTGAGTTTGTCTTGCTTGGAGTTCCCCATGTGCAGCATGCTTGGTGTCTACTAGAAGTACTGTTATACATGACTGTGATTTTATGTGAGTATCGAAGTTGGTATAGGTGAATGCGTATTTTGCTCTCATGAAATTTATCAAAACATGTTCAGGATTTTCTTTTTCCTTCACTGATTGGTGCTTCACCCTCGGGTCCCATGGATCCCGGTGCTGTACTTCATGCCTCCTTTCAAGCTTTTATTTTTAGCTTTGGGAGTGAATAAAGTCATAATAATAAAGGAAGTTGAGAAACGTGCCAAGTATCAACTTCTTGCTCGCGAAATCCATCGGCCATGGCAAGTTGAGACTCAGATTGTTCCTGTGGTAGTTGGGACTTTGGGCACTGTTTCCAAACTGTTGCCAGGATACCTTGACACCATCGGTATCACCAGCTACTGCTCTATGTCTGAATTGCAAAAGAATGCTCTCCTTGGCTTGGCAGCTATCCTGCGTAAGGTCCTTGATTTGTAATGCTCTGTGGTGGGCGGTGGAGTTCTTTCGGTCCTATTTTCCTCCAAACCCTCTCGTGTTTCCTATGATCGATATTTAAAAAAAAGTGCTGTGTGTTTCTCTCTGTTGTTTACCTACCATCACATTTAATATCCATATGATGCATGGCCCCACCTTTGGCTGCTGGATGCTAGCCCGGTATCTCCGGCCTTCGGCCGAGTGCTGATGGATAATAATAACCGCCGGATCTTGTGTGGGACGACGGCAAGTCAGTCCTACTTATTGATTCAGTGTGCCACTGGATCATAGAGTAACACTAAAGCATGCTGACAAAAGAGCGAAGTACTTGCCCCTCGCAGTGGAAACTAGGCAGACTTGGCAGCGGGAAGCGGTGTCCGTTGTACCCATCATAGTTGGTGCTCTTGGTGGCCTTTCGAAGGAAGGGGCTATTTCCATTATAAAGCAGCTATGTGGAGAAGAGCGGCACCTTCATGAACTGCAACAGGCTGCTATCCTTGGCTCGATGGCCATTCTACGATCTGTTTTGGGTACAGCATAGGGCTCTTCGCTGTCCCTGGTGGTCTTCTTAGGTTCTGTATGTTATTGTATTTGTTTTAGTTTGTAATTGAAACTCTGTGGTATTTACGTGGTTATTCGTGCTTGATCTTTCTGTGGGCACGCATCGGAGGTTGTGCCCAGTGATGAGCCTTGCCGGCCTGAATCTTTTGCCAACATCTGATGCTCCCTGTTTGCAATACCTGTTATCATGATACCTTTGGGCTTTAATGCCTGTGATGGTACATGCGCCTTTCTCTCTCTCTCTCTCTCTCTCTCTCTCTCTCTCTCTCTCTCTCTCTCTCTCTCTCTCTCTCTCTCTCTCTCTCTCTCTCTCGCTCTCTCTCTCTCGCTCTCTCTCTCTCTCTACTTTACTTTTTCCCCATTATTATTCCGTGCTGCTTACCTTTGGCTATGATAAGTCCGGTGAGTTAGTGTACTACCTCCAATTATTTATTAATTTTTAGTTTCGAGTGGGATAAAGAAACATAATACTTGCTCCCCCCGCATCCATCAGCAAATTCATAGCTTGTGCGTTGTGCCAGGCCGGTCAGACTGAATTCCCCACATCCTTAGGAGTGCTACCACCCTCTGAAGAAGCATACACAGTTCCCACAGCGGTAGAAAGTGACTAGATGAGACCGAACACAAATTCGCTTTATCCATACTTCCCCGTGCCAGGCCACTTTGTGGGCTATGGATCGTAGCATCGCATGTATTAGAAAAAAAGAAAGAAAGAAATCCCAGTCGCGCTGGTGGATCGTTGGAGTCAGAGCACAATTCTCTAGAAATAGCATGGCTGTTTTTAGAGCCTGTATTACGGGTTCTATCAACTTCTATGCTACCAAATTTCCAAGGTACAGTGTGGTTGAACTTGAACATTTAAAACATATCCTCGTTACCTCCTCAAAATCGATGGAAATCCCCACAGGAGTTACAGATGATGCTGCCGCTGCTGCGGCAGCAGACCGTTTAGAACGTTTACTGTGATGATTGTTGGAGTCTGGAAGGCAAAACACGACAGAAATGGTTCGCAACTTCTAGTTCTCGCCCATGCAGTATGGCAAAGATATCGCATGCGCACCGTCGTGGTCTGTTCCTCGCTTTCCCATTCTGGCTCCGTCCGTCACAGCGTTCTGACTAGGCACTCAAAAGAACTGCATCAATACAATTTCTCGACTGGCTAAACAACAACACACACGATTTTATTTTTGAAAGTGGACTTTTCTCATTCAGTCATTGTTCGATGTGTTGCATTCACTCAGATATGTAGATCGACATGAAGTCATAATGAAGTCATGACCAGGGCCCCTAGCTAGGCCGCCTGGTCATGACTCATACCAGCATGGATCATGGGATCCAGGGGATCGCTTGTTTCCCCTCCTGCTCTCTGCTCTTTGACGTCTCCAAGTCCACATGGTCCAAGTCAACAGTTTTGTTGGATATTGATTTTTGTTGTACCTGCAATGAAGCTGTTTACCTGAGTTTGGGAGGACGACAAGACCAAGGCTCGATGAATAGCATACATGCAGATATGATTACAGCTAGCTGATCTTCTTTCGCCTTGTTTTCCTTTATTTTGGTTCATGGTCGCCCTTTATAGCCTCATGCTATTTATGGATTTGGCCACATGTAACTTGTTGTAGCTTTTGTCTGTGAATTAACGAAACTACCAAGTCGTATTTCAACTGGAAGAGTTGTCGCATATCCTCTCTTCCCAGATCCTGATATAACCTGTATTCGCACTGTGGGTGCCACTTGCTGGAGAGATTTGTGCCATTTCTGCCTCTGGTGAACACCTTGTTGACGTCGTCGGCTTATGGAACTTCTGGAGCTGTGAAGGGAGATCTGCCTTGTTAGTTGTTACTTATGGTATGTGCATGCTATCAATGCTTTAGTCGACCATGCCTGGCGTGGAAGTAACTATTCCTGAGACACGCAATTCAAATGCAGATTACACGATATACGTGTTGAGAGTTTCGCACCTGAAGGGCACCAAACTATCTGAAGTTCGCTATAGTCAGTTCTTCGAGCTACACAAGAAGCTGAGAAAGATCATCAAACCGTATCCTGAGTTCCCAGCAAGGCGATTGGTACGCAAGCTGGATCCAAAGGTGGTGGAGGCTCGTCGTCAGTGTCTCGAAGGTTACATTCAAGCCCTGGTCGCTCACGAGCCCATCCATCAACTGGTGCTAACATTTCTGGGAGTGCCGGAAGGTGGGTATGATGGACCTGATGCAAGCACAAATTCAACCGATAGCATGCATGCCCCTCATTCAGCTGCCTTGTCTGTGAACTGGGAGGAAGTCAACAAAGCAGCACTTGCCAGAGTCCAGGATGACGTGATCCACAAAGTTCTGTGCGAAAACGCTGATGGCAAGCTTGATACTGCTGCGCTTCAGGACAATGCCTTAATCGGTATGCTGACTGCAATGTACAATTGATGTGGTGCTGTGCCAAGACCTGCACACCCACATGGTGCATATATGGAATGTGCGGGCTGCTACTCTGGATGGCCTTTTCGGCCGAAACCTTTTTTGGCCAGCATTCTTCTACGTGGGGCAGATTGTCATGATGTACCACAGTACAATGTGCCATGGTAGTGACGGGAGTAACAAGTATGCTGTACTCTAGTAGAACGCTGTCACTACGGAGTCCGGGCTCTTGCGATGAGCTTGAGGAAGTCTTCTAGGTGAATTTCTAATGGAAACAGTACGGTATAATTGCGTTATTGATTGTATACTTATCACTCTTCTAGCAGTGCTAAATGGCCAAGGATAAGGGTGTATCATATTTTCATAGTATACTATGAGTAAATGAGTAGTTTTGCCGTGCTGGACATGACATATCGAATTCTACATGTATTTTAAAAAATCCGAAGGAAATACGACCATTTTACTGCGTACTGTAGCTTGTGTTGTAGCGCACCGAGGTTCTGAATTCCTGCTGGGTGGGTCAAGCCAGACTCCCTTCCCTGTTCCATTGTTGAGATTTACAGATGAGAAATTTCACACCTGTCAAATCGTTTCTGATTCGAGCACCCGGGTCTACGCGTTTCCGTTACGTGGGAACTAAACCTCCCTAGTACCAAGAGTACATAACCCCCGGGGGGGTTATGTACTCTTGGTACTAGGGAGGTTTAGTTCCCACGTAACGGAAACGCGTAGATCTACGTGGGTGATCCACGTAAAGACTTAAGTGGATGAAGGGCACCCACGTTGCAATGTTGTGTTTAGTCACACGGAACAAGCAAAAGCATGAAGCGAAAGGCCCAAACCTGGTCAAAGACGAAGCTACCCGGGCCTAAGAAGCTCATTTCGTGCTTCGGAAAATTCTTCAGCTGAGCACCCTCACAGCTCGCACAATGCGCTCCATTCTGATTTTCACCCACGTTCTGGCGGAACGTGGGTGAGCCAGCATACACGGTATGTCGTGAATCAGAAAACGTCTGTACGTGGGTCACTGAGTATCACGTGGTACACACACATAAAGTACCCACGGATTACGTGGGACTAAACCTCCCTACTACCAAGAGAACATACCGTGTTATCTCTAATATAAGCACGGTCCTTTATTTTTTCAATGTACCTCCGCCCCGTGCTATTAATGGAGACGTTCCTTTATTGGAGACTGTTCCATTATTATTTCAACCTCATTTCAGAGGCATGTTGCCATGCCAAATTCATGTCAGACACACACATTTCAGGGTTTTTTCGCCGGTACAGATAATGAATTTACACAGTGTGCTTATATTAGTTATAATGGAGACTGAGCACTTTATTTTTTGAATGCCGCCCCAAGGTGTTCTATTAGTAGTGGATCCACTAAGGCTAAGGTGTGACTTTGCTATTGCCTATTGTGGGTGCATAGCAACCCACTCATGTCGCATGCAGGTGTGACTTTTATTTCGCCACCAGTTGTAACCCCGCCCCCAGTAGCCAAATCAGTCAGTTTCACTGGCTACATCACCATGCTGTGGGTAAGACCGCTTGAAATGCGCTTGGATCCACACAAAAACTGGATCCAAGTGGATCCAGTTTTTGAATTTTTGAAATAATTGTTGCTATGCTGTGACGTAGCTAAAGCACTTTCAAGCCAATTGGAGACTGGGCTTTAATATTTATAATAATACTAGAGATTTCTAATTTTCTTTCACCGCCCACGGCCGCACAAAGTCCTTGGCTACAAAAAAAAAAAATTAAAGTCTCTCCAAATCTCTCAAAACCAAACTTAAAACTCCTTTCCTACTAGAGATAATACGGTAACCATGGTAACCCCATTCATATTGGGCCATGGGGGTTACCGGTATGTACTCTTGGTACAGTCTGTACTGTACTACTGACTGTAGAACGATCTATGCCACACGATCTACCAAGACCAGATGACATCTGGTTGTATTAAATTTTTACTACTCCCTGAGTTCAAAAAGAACGAAACAGCATGCTGTCCGCAGATTGAGTACTACTCCCTGGTATAAATCTACTCATCAGACATCACTCGCTCTGTCGGTATGCATGACGTGAACGGGCTGGACTAGCAACTACGTCTACGATCGAGATCAACGAAGAGCCTTTTACAAGTGTAGTTTTACAGCTGGTGCATGTTGAGGTCAACAGGATCAAACAGATACTCGTAGATATATCTACTCAATGATTGAGATTTCGTGAAAGACCAGTTTGTTTATAAACATTTTCTCAGAAGCCAATTTTTTTGAAATACAGATGGGATCCCTGGCCAACCCACTGAAGTCACAGGAGAATGGCGAAGGCTTTTGCTCATTCACCACCAGCTTTGTCCTTGGTTGAGGAGAGCCAAACGTTGTTTCCCGGCACCCCCGTTTCCAGTACCTATTGTCCGTCTCAAAATTGTTTGATTGCATTTTTGAAAGATGGCACTTTATCAGCATTGGATATATCAACGGGTGCTGTTCTCCACAGGACGGAGCCAATCGCCGGTATAGTGTTGGAATTTGGCCTATCATTTGGAGGCTTTTTTGCAGACGTTTCACTTCTTTCTGCTTTCATCATTTCGAACAGATACATCCATATCCCAGAATTCTTCCTGGTTCTGCTGCTATGTACCGTCAGTGGACCGCTTGGTAGTGTCAGATGGTGTGACTATTTGTGCAAGAAAAGACCACAATGGCGTGTTTTTACTGGATAGTGTACTGCAGATACCTGGAAGTGAAGAACTTCGAATCGAACTTCCACTGCCTGAGGTACTTCAGCTAAATTTGAAAGTGTAGAAAGTGCTAGAAGGTGTTGGTCTGACATTGTGAAATTCTGATTGTAATTTCCCTTGTTTTCAAGATTCACAGGCTAGTATTTATGAAATCATGCAGATAATGACGTGTGGGGTGTTGCTAAAGAAATTGAGGAAGTAATCAGCATTTGTAGAAAGCACTGCAAAGAACCGAGCCATTTCTTACCTTACAACGTTTCGGCAATATTGCCATCATCAGGGACGAATAACAGGGGCGTAGGAGGGGTTTGGGAAGTTGTACGACCGAAGGCCGTGTTGGAGGGGGTCCGGGGGACCTCCCCTGGGAAAATTTTGTAAAAAAGACACAAAATCCTGCTTTCTTCGTTCTGGGAACTTCTGGCACACTTCTGGCGCAGTGTGCATGCAGTCGAGTACAGTACTCAGTACGACTGCAGATGCAGATGCATAACAGATCTACGAGTACGAGTCTAGAAAAAGGTCAAAGTCTGATGCGCATATGCATCGAGGGATCCTGATTTTTTTTATTATGGTTTTGCACGCTCCGGACGGACAACACTTTTCGAAAAGTGGTACGGCCATGGTCGTAGCGGGTGCTACGCCCCTGAATAAAGCAATGATTCCATGCATGCTAGAAAAGAGCAGTTTGATGACTTGTGTACTTAATGGTGAATATTTAAGGTTGAGTACCAGTAGTTAGCATAATCGTGTGTAGACGATTGGGTAACAAATGCCCAATTTAAGAAAATGATGTGCACTAAAGTGATCGCAAGGGAGTTTTTTGTTTGATTGAAGTGGTAGTCTGTGCTTTTGAAACCCGCTGTAGGCAAGCGAAAATGAGTGGGCATGTTTGTTTTTTTAGCTTTGAGTGTGAAAACGTGTGCAACAGTTTACGGTCAAACATGACTGAGACCCGACGTACCGCAAGCTCAGTTGTTTTGTATATCCCACTGCCTTGTGTACATAATCAAGAGTACTCTTGACATAATGGTGTACATTAAGGTTGAGTACCAGCGTCAGTACCAACGGGCAAGTTGTCACTCAGCAGCCTAAGCTCTGAAAGGGAGTGACTTTTTTAGAGAGTAATGGGGTGGGGGAAAGCACAATTTACTGTACATGTACTTCAGACTGACACTATGTTCAATTAACATTTCAGCTTGTTATGGCATGTGCATAGTGTACTGCATACCACTGGAGGCCAGTATGCTCAGGTCCAGTCTGATCTGGTGTGTGTGTGTGTGTGTGTGTGTGTGTATGTGTGTGTGTGCTCGTGTGTGTGTGTGTGTGTGTGTGTGTGTGTGTGTGTGCTCGTGTGTGTGTATGTGTGTGTGTGTGTGCGCGTGCGTGTGTGTGTGTGTGTGTGTGTGTGTTATCATGCAATCACTGTTGTCAATTATTAGGTTCCTCTTCTACTAGTCCAGCTGAAAAATGCTAGCTCACATGGTAACGAAAAGCCAAGTCATGAGAAGGTGGCTGCACAGCTGATGGCTCAGGTTAGCCAGCATATGAATGAGACCAAGGGATGGCAGAAAGCAGCCAAGGTCAGTGATTGGAATGGCATACTCATCCGTCGTCCTTTTACGTCTATCAAGCTGCCCTCACAATACTCTTTTCTTGAGAAGAACGGGTGGTCACTGTTGCTGTAATCTGTATCAAGTTTCCTTGGGAAAAGTCTCCCTGTCTTCACCATAGTGTCCTTCATTCAGCAGTACATCCAGTGACGTTCTTGTCTGGCATAGCATGGATTTGTCCCGGGGCTCGGCACCACGCCGGAACATGTAGCACCATACTTTTATCAGTCATTACGTATGATTTATAATGCAGTGGCAGTACCAGGCGTGGGCCATCCCCATGGATTATCAAAATGGGTGCCTTATCATTTTTCTGTTTTTACACTTCTTCGTGCTTTGTAGTAAAAGAAATTACGTTAATTAGGCGAGACCAAAATAAAATCGAGATTCCCGGGCAGGACCCATGTGAAATTGGTGCGGGCGGGCGAATTTTTTTTCTTCTTTTTTTCCCATGTATGTACATGACTATATACATGTATGTGTGCATCAGGGAGTCGTCAAATACCGGGAGTGGAAACGCCGTTAATCTTGATTATCCATGCTCGCCTCGCGCAAAATTTTTGCAGTGCCTTGAGTACCTCAGCGTCGTCAAATGCAATTTAGAGTAGCCTTGAGTATTTTTTGGGAGAAAGCGTCCATCAGAACGTGTATAC